AGAGAGTCCCCTACTAGAACAAGCCAAAGCCTTACACCAACAATTTCACCTACCCATCTCTCAATGCAAACATCTGAGCAGGTCTTGTGTTACATGTGCACCCCTTTCTCCCTTAGGCCCCCTCAATCGATATGGAGTTAACCCACGTGGTCTCCTACCCAATGCCCTCTGGCAAATGGATGTCACCCATTACAACTCGTAATCTTAAGTATGTCCATGTCATTGTTGACACTCCCCCTTTATTTTTGACATCGCTCAAACCGGTGAAAAGGCCTCACATGCCATTAAGGTGGTCAAATCAGCAATGCTGGTAATGGGAGTGCCAGGGACCCTAAAAACTGATAATGAGCCAGCTTACACCTCTCTACAATTCCAGTCATTCCTGTCAACATGGAAAATTAGCCACTCCCTTGGCATCCCTTATAATCCACAGGGACAAGACATTGTGGAGTGGGCAAATAGGACCCTCAAAGAAACATTACAAAAATTTGCTACCCCTGAGTCTAAAAGGGACCCGCACCTGGCTCTAATTGAAGCTCTATTCAGCATTAATTTCCTGTCCTTTGATGAAAATGGGTTGAGCCCAGCCGACAAACACTGGGCTACCATACCTAGGCCTACACCCCTGCCACTAGTGAGATAGAAGGACCCCGTAATATGTCAATGGCAACCGCCCGCCCCCTTATTAACAAGAGGGTGAGGCTATGCTTGTTCCCTCAGACAGAAACAAAGCCAGTATGGGTTCCAGCAAGAGATGTGAGACCAGCAACCAACCAACGGGACCCCCCAGGACCCAGAGACCTTGCTGCTGTCTGGATAATTGGTTTGCTCTTCCCCACCCCAGCCACGGCCCATAATCTCTGGTCCTTGGTCCCCTCCACCCCTATACTCTTGCCCTTATCACTTTATTCCCCAGCCTACCCCACCCTCTATTCAACTAATTCTATGCTTGGCCTCCCCACCATGGACCCAGTTACTTCCTGGGAATCACTCAATGGCTCCTGGCCCCTAAATAACTCTCTATGCTTCACTACCAACAATGCATCCTCATGCATTGGGCTGTTCAACCTGACCTTCCAAGATTATGCCAGCAGTGCCTCCTCGGGTTACATGCTTAAACTCCAGGGCCTTTCCCCTACCTTCAACAACACCGATGTAACCTCGGTCCTCGCTGCACTGGGGACAATAATAACAGAGGAGGCGGAGGGGACCGCCACCCCTCCGGCCCCATTTTTCCCTGCCATTCTATGCCCACTGCTCCCCAACTGCCCATGCACACGCTCCCTTGCACCCTTTTTCCTCATGCTCCCTATACCATGGCAGAGATGCCACCCTAAGCCCAACCATGCCATCCCTCCCTTTTGCTGCTTCAGCCGCTCCCCCTCTAATTACCCCCTAGGATCTTGGAGATAACTGGCCCCCACCTATCCCTGTGGCATTAAGATCTCCCATACCGACCGCGAACCAATACTCTGTAACTAGGACCTCTGTGGGCCACATGCCTGCATGGACATGAGGCTGTTACTGGCACAGTAGGGCCTTCAGCTTTCCAATGGCACTTACACTAACACCAATCCCTCTACTTGTGCCAAAAACAAAATCCTTACATCCATTGATCACATGACATCCTGGCCCCCTATCCCCATTTGCGTGCAGCCCCCGTTTGTCTTATTGCTAGCCAATGTTACCTCCGACCCTCGGGGACAACTCAACTGCTCTGATACCAAAACCACCAGTGTACTGGTGGCCTGCTGGAACCATCCAGCTCACATAGTTCTCTTTATGTGTGAACCCATGGCCTTTTGGGTTCCAGTCACCAATGCAACCCACTTCCATGCTGTCACCCTTATAGAGCAGACAGCCTTGTCACAAGCCCCCAGCTTAAAACGGGATTTCAGGGTCACTGCCGCTCTCAGCCATCATCCTTGCATTAGGGTCGGCTGCTGCCACTGCAGTAGCTATCACCTAATCCTCCACTACTGTGGAGACACTCAATGAGGCTGTGTCCAAAACCTCCTCTGCCTTTCACACTCAGTCCCTTATCAATCAGCATCTTCACCAGGCAATTAATGTGTTACAACAACAAATTGATCTCTTAAGTGAAGAGCTGGCAATGACCAAAGACTTGGCTCTGCTAGCTTGTGACCCTTGCTTTAGGTCACTTTGTCTCACCCCCTATAAAGTACAGAGTATTACTGAAGCACGCCTACAACTCGCGCACTATATTCATGGCCACTGGAATGAAAAGTTTCTTAATTACTCTATATTACTAGCTAATCAAATTATTGCTCTAAATTATACCCACGCCCCCATGCTGGACATCAATTCAGGGTTCTTAGAGAAAATCTGGTCTAATCTAAAAGCACTGTTTGACCCATCTTGGATCATCACTTACCTACTCCTAATAGGCATAGTTATTCTTCTCTTTCTACTTCTTAAATGCCTTGTTCTTCATTCCCGCAGTCAGAAAAAATTCAACCACTCGGTGTATCAGGCCCTCAGAGCAATACACGAAAATGATTTCAACCTGCCCTATGCAGCCTGACAGACTTGGCTTGTACAAATGTACGAGGCCTCCTACAGATAATTCCCCACCTCAATTGATCCCCCGGGACAATACCCCTTGGAGGGCTGGTAATCAATGACGGGTAAGATCCTGTTGGACTGAATCAACTTAAGCCAGGACATGGGACGTGTACACCCATGCTCCAATGATGGGACAGGCACAGTCCATGATCCTGGGGTCATCCCAAGGTAGAGCTGCCTACAGGCTCTCGCTGGACAATTGTTTTTAAAGAAAAAGGGTGGAAATGTAGCAGGAGGCCTCCAAAGATGGCGTGGACCCAGAGCCCAGGGATTCAGCGAGAATTCACTTCACTTCTTGGTCTGCAAATAGCCCACCAAAAGGAGCCCACTCCTCCGTACCCTGCTCATGAGCCCAGTGACTGCTGACAGACTGTGTGGCGCAGACCAATCAGAAAACGATATGCTGACTAAAGGGACTTGGGGGTGGAGGAAAGGGAAATATAAGGCCTGCCCCCTCCTGCATTAAATGATCCTGCAGCACCTTGCCTAGTGCTTGCTTCTACCTGACTGCCAGGGTCTGTGTGTGTCGTGACTCCGTGCCTCTTCCCCGCCCCCAATTGGCAGGGGACCCGATCCAGGTCCCCACAACAGGGTTCCACTATGTAGCCCTGACTGGCCTGGAACTCACTATGCCGAGGAGGCTGGCCTCGAACACACAGAGATCCACCTGTCTCTGCCTCTTGAGTACTAGGATTAAAGGTGTATACTACCAAGATCACCCTGAACAACCAACTTGTGCAACAAATGGATCAAAGATAAAAACCAAGAAATAAAAATCTCAGGGCTGGAGAGATGGCTCAGTGGTTAAGAGCACTGACTGCTCTCACCGAGGACCTGGGTTTGGTTCCTAGCACTATCACAGCAGCTAGCAACTATCTGTAACTCCAGTTCTAGGGAATCTCATGCCCATTTTAGCCTCCAAGGACACTGCATGCATGTGGTATACTTACATACATGAAAGCAAAACACTAATACATATAAAATAATTTTTTAAGTCTTTTACTTCATAGTTAAAAGGAGTTAAAAGAAATAAAAAATATCTTCAAAGAAATGAAAAAGAACACATACCACACCAAGATCTATGAAACAGCAAAAGCAGTACTAAGAGAAAATTTAGAGCAATCAATGCCTCTGTTAAAAACAACAACAAAAAACCCCAGAAGGCTGTCATATAGACAATGTCATTGTATTTCAAAGGACTAAAAGAATAAAAACAAACCAAACTCAGACCAGATGACTTACTACTGATTTCAGTAAACATTTAAAAAACTAATGAAAATTCTTAAATGATTCCTTCCCAAACTGGAGAGAATTCTGAGCACATTCTACAAGGCTAGCATCACTCTGATACTAAAACCAGACAAGGACATGAGGAAACTATAATCTATTAAGCTCCAGTGAACATAGATATAAATGTCCTTAACAAAACCACAGTATGAAGATTATTCTTAAAGGGCTTAGGGTGTAGCTCAGTGGTAAAGTGTTGCTTTAGTATCTGTGAGACCCTGATTTCAATCACCAGCACTCTTCTCACCACCCCCAAAATGTGTTTACTATGATGACAAAGATGTAAGGATGGTTCAACGTATTGAAACAAAACAAAAATAAAAACAAAGTAGTAAATTAAAAAGTTAAATTTCAACCAAAAGGGCGCAATGTAATTAACAGGACTCATAAAAAGAAAGGAACACAAGTGAAGGAGATAATTTTTAAAATTAAAAGAACAAAAATTCTCAAAACACTCAACTCTGCCGTTTTTAATATACCCCAAGATTGATGAGTCCCATTGAGTATATAGCCCAATGAATAATAAAATTCTATGACACAGTAAATGAATTCCAGAACAGCAGAGATGAATATCAGATCGTAAATTCATCTACACTACAACAAGGATTTTGGAAAAGGTAATTCTTTGTGGAATGTTTGGCAGCATATCTTTCAGTGTTACCATGTCCTCCAGTTGTAGAGACTTCAGACACTGACAAATGTTGTGGGGTGGCAAGATTGCCTGGGTTAAGAACCTGGGATCTAGAGGGGAAACAAAGGTTCTCAGAAAAGTATATATAATCAGAATTTCAATGGACACCCCAATGCTGGAGATTAGAAAACACTGGAGGAATACCTTTAAAATATTAGCTACAGGGGGCTGGAGAGATGGCTTAGCTGCTAAGAGCACTGGTTGCTCTTGTAGAGAACCCATGTTTTCATCTCAGAACCCACATGGAGGCTAACAACCCTCTGTAACTCCAGTTCCAGGGGATCCAATGCCCTCTTCTTTTCTCCTTGGATACTGCATGACACAGGTGCACTTACATACATGTAGGCATACACTCATACACATAAAATAAAATTTAATCCATTAATGAATTAAAAAATACTACCTGAAAATAACTTATAATTTTATACCCAATAAAGTCTTCAGTCACGATGTTTTTGACATTTGAAAATTTTCAGATATTTAAACCTTCAGTAAATTTATTTTCAAGGGGATGGAGAAATGGCTCAACAGTTACAAGAGCACTTGCTGCACTTAGAGAGGATTCAAGTTCAGTTTCTTCCATACACATCATGTGGCTCACAGCCACCTGGAACTCCAGTTCCAGGGATCTGATGCTCTCTTCTGGACTCCACAAGTACCTGCATGCATGCGGTACACATATAGACAAGCAGGTACTCACACATAAAATTAACATTAAAAAATCAAATACTTTTTAGGTACATAAGGAAATAAACCAAACAATGAAAGTATAAAATCGAAATAAAATATAAGAGAAAGATAAAAGAAATCCCTACAATAGTGGGAAGAAGAAATTGTGGTGTGCAGTAAGTATAGAGTACAAATGGTGATTAATTGAGCAAAAGTTTGATTGTTGTAGTATTCTACATCCAAGATACAAGACCTGAGAGACTTCTTAGAGTTTAATCAAAGTGAGTAGTAACTTTACACACTGGGGAGCTGAGGACAAATTCTAAATATGCACGTAGAAGTGTACATAAGATGAAAAAAATTTTAATTTAAGGTAAGGAAAAGCTTTTATTTTTTTACTCTTGAGGCTCAAGTGTAAACACTACGCAGTGATAATTACATAAACACTGTAATAGAATTATATTGCTAGATGGGAAGAAAACGTGCAATCGTGGGTATGCTCTTAACAAATAAATTGGTAACATTTCAAACTAACATATAAGAAAAATCATTTTTAATTTTGCTGTCTACAAATATAAAAGTAAATATGGAAAAATCAGTGAAAGCACAAAAAGGTTTAGCTGTCAAGCAGAACTCTTCTAAAATCTATCATAAATGTAATATTGTAAAGGTAACAATATGTATGATAAAAAGTATTGCATTATTGTATATAAGACTATCTGTTGAATTTTTAAACAGGCAGTTAACTGGGCTAATACCCTAATCTGATTCTTTAGAATTTGTGGGAATTATTTATCTAAATTCATGCAAGTCTGCTCTATTATAGTTAATCTGATAGTTTTAAAAGTTTTATTTTTATGTATTTGAGTGTTTTCCTGCATGTATGCATGTGCACCATGTTTGTATCTGGTGCCTGGTGCCCTCAGAGGCCGGAATAGGGTATCCCATCCCTTGGAAGTGGAGTTACACACTATTTTCAGTCCCTGTGTGAGTGCTGGGAATGGAATCTGGTTCCTCTGGGGAAGCAGTAAGCACTCATAACCACTGAGACATTTCTCCACCCCATAGTTTTTTCTTTTCTCTGTATGGTGGGTAAGTGCATAAAAATGTAATTGATAGTGAAAGTGTATTAAGCGGTTCTGAATGGCGCTTCTAACTGTGTAGAAGTCCACTGAGATGCAGAGTGGGCAAGTGTTTGAGTAGCTACCCTAATCTAGCTATACGATAAATTTTAATTTGTGAGTTCATTACAATAAAGTGATTAAAAATAAAGTCAATCTCTTTAAAAATCAATTTTAAATTTTATGTATGTGTATATGCATGTGTCCATGGAGGCTGGTGGGGGGGCAGTGGTGATCAGATCCCCAAGGGGTTGAAGTTATAGGTGGTTGTAAGCCAACCCACATGGGTGCTGGGAACCAAATTCTGGTCCTCTGAGAGAGCAGCAAATGCTCTTAACTACTATGTTGCCTCTCCAACCCCTGATAGTTTTAATTAGATGCTATAAAATTCTTGTAATCTACTTTAGAAAAGTCCATTTGTTAATTTAATTCTCATATACATTCATAGAGATAGTTTTTTCTTACTCTGTAGACAAGGCTGGCCTTGAACTCACAGAGATGCACCTGCCTCTGCCTCCCAGGGCTGGGATTAAAGGCTTGAGCCACCAGGCCCAGCTGATAATTTTCTTAAATACTATTTTTCTTCTGTGCTGTGGACTGAACCCAGGACCTCACTCAGGCTAAGCACTTGTTCTTTCACTGAGCCAAACCCAAAGCTCCACTAAACATACTTTAGAGTAATGCTGACTCAGATTTTTCTAGGGGGTAGAAAAGTATTGATTTGTAACCTTTGTACGCACAGCATATGCATAAATCATGTGTCAGTGTATCTATTAATTTTGATATAATAGACTCAGAATATTAGATGTTTTAATTAAATTTTATCAACTTGAAAGACTCAATTTTAAAACATAATCCTGATTAAACAATGGTTCATTTGATAAAAAGGAAATGGGGCTCTTGAAGCAAGTCAACAAAATCCTAAGCTAAAATGTTTGCATAATTGAAAATTATTGAAAACTTAAAAGCCATCATTTAAAATAGCATTACATTCATGCTAATAATAATCAGAAAGTTTGAAACACCGTTTGCTAACCAAACTGTAAGGAATAGCTATAAATATGACGATTACTAACCTAACATGCAACCTCTATGTGAACGAAAGGTTGGGAACTTACAAATACTTCACTGAACACTACAACTCATCATATAAGGCCAAAGTGAGATTCCTAATTAAAGCCAAAATGATCCCTAAAGTTGGTATTTTCCTCGGTGTTGCTATAAGCGCCTTCATCCAAGAAGTTAGGGAGTATAGGATTAAGAATCTTTACCTCACTAGTTTCAGCACTTCCTGCCAAATAAACTTCATATTGATAATTCTGAGACAGTGTCCCCGCTCCGCTGACGTCCAGCAGCTGTCCCGGAAAGCGGCCCTCAGGCACAGAGCCGCCAGGCAGAGAGGCCGGCCTGGTCCTCCTGCACAGCCTGAGGGCCACGAAGAGCAGCAGCGAGAAGAGGAAGAGCGAAGACACCGAGGCCAAGGCGATGACCAGGTAGAGCGTGAGCGCGTCGGGCTGCGCGGGCTGGCGCGCCACTTCGGGCGGCGGCAGGTAGGGCTGCGAGAAGCCATCCACCAGCAGCACGTGCAGCGTGACGCTGGCCGACTGCGGCGGCTCGCCATTGTCCTTGACCAGCAGCAGCAGCCTGTGCCTGGGCGCGTCGCGCTCGCTCAGCAGCCTGGCGGTGCGCACCTCGCCATTGTGCGGCCAGACTCCGAACAGGCCTGGCTCGGTGGCCTTGAGCAGCTGGAACGACAGCCAGGCGTTCTGGCCCGAGTCGCGGTCGACCGCCACCACCTTGGTGAGCAGGTAGCCCGGCTCGGCCGCCCTGGGCAGCAGCTCGGTGCAGGGCGCAGAGGCGTTCTGCAGCGGGTAGAGCACGAAGGGCGCGTTGTCGTTGGCGTCCAGCACCAGCACGCGCACCAGCGCCTGGCTGCTGAGCGCGGGCGAGCCTCGGTCTGCGGCGCCCACGCGGAACTCGAAGGCCTGCAGGGCCTCGTAGTCCAGCGCCCTGAGGGCGAACAGCTGCCCGTTGTCGGCGTTGATGGACACCAGCGAGGCGAGGGCCAGGTGCGGGTCGTGGGGCGGCAGCAGCGAGTAGGTGAGCTGGGCGTTGGCGCCTGAGTCTGAGTCTGTGGCTCTGACTGTGCCTATGTGCAGGGCGGGGCTGTTGTTCTCGGGGACGTACATGGTGTAGGAGGCTTGGCTGAAGGCGGGGGCGTTGTCGTTGACGTCGGAGACCTGCAAGGTTATGTTGTGCTGGGTTTTCAGCCTGGGTGTGCCCAGGTCAGAGACTGTGATGGTGATGTTGTACTCAGCTCTACTCTCTCTGTCCAGTGGTCTGTCTGTCACTAAGGTGTAAAAGTTCTTCAGTGTGGGCTTCAACAGGAATGGGAGATCATTCTGAATAGAGCAAACCATCTTTCCATTGTCCCCGGAATCTGGATCAGAAACACTGAAAACAGCAACTACAGTTTCAAGAGCATTTTCTGGGATAGAGCTTGTGAGTGTCCTGATGGTCAGTTCTGGGGAATTGTCGTTCACGTCCACCACCTGTACAGCCATATTGCATTTGCTGGAAAGACCACCTCCATCTGTGGCTGCAATTTCAATGTTATAATGTCTAGTAACCTCAAAATCTAATGCCTGTTTCAGACGAATTTCTCCCGTGATTTCGTCTATTACAAATGGTTGAGAAGCTCCATCATGTTGAAATAGAGAGTAGGCTACACTTCCATGAGTCCCAGCATCTAAATCTCTGGCAGAGACAGTGACAACTAAGGAATCCAGTGGGCTGTTCTCAGGAACCTGCACCTCATAGAGAGGCTGTACAAACTGCGGGGCGTTGTCATTGATGTCCACGACTTCAATTCGAACTGTGGTGGTCCCAGACCTGGGCGGAGCCCCACCATCCAGCGCAGTGAGGGTTAAGCTGAGCTCAGGCTGCTCCTCCGCATCCAGGGCTCTGTCCAGTACCAGCTCCGGGTATTTCCTGCCATCTCCGTGACTGTGAGTGACAACATGGAAATTGAGGTTGGGGCTGATGGTGTAGTTCTGAACAGCGTTGCTCCCTATGTCTAAGTCCTGAGCTGTTTTTAGAGGAAACGCAGTCCCTGGCTGGACATTCTCAGGAATTTTTAGGAGCATTTCCCTGTCTGGAAATGCTGGAGCATGATCGTTTATGTCTGTGAGTTGCAGATCAATTTGGAAAAACTGCACAGGGTTTTCTAATAGTACCTGGAAATGCAACACACAGAGTTCTGTAGCCCCACACAGCACCTCCCTGTCCAATTTTTCACACAGTAGCAAATTGCCTGTCTTTAAATCGAGCTGCAAGAGCTCTTTGTTTCCTTTGTAATGGATTTGTGCGCCTCGAGTGGCCAGTTCCTCCACCCTGAGCCTCAGATCCTTTGCTAGGTTAGCCACCAAGAAGCCGTTTTCTGTTTCTTCTGGCATGGAATATCTAATCGCCTCAGAGTCAGCAGCCCACAACAGTAGTAGTATAGCAAAAAAACTCACTTGCCTTTTCTGTGTAGCTTTTGATAGAGCTGTCTCCATTGTTCAGAGGGTGTCCAGAGGGCGCAGCGTCTTCAAGTTGGTTACAATCCACCCATGCACGTTCGTGAAATAATGGAATTAAACGTACTCACTAACTTGTTAGACGCTTTTTTTCAGATATTCCTCCCTAAATGCCTCCTCCTCTTGAGGAGTAGTGACAGTTCTGAGTCTCAGCTTAATATAATGGCATCCTGGGCATACCCTTATCCTGCAGCGCCACCCAGTGTCCTTATTTGCTATTGCATATTCTTTTACCTTTTCATCCCAAATTTTAACCCTGCTCTGTTTCAGTATCCTTTTAATACAAGCAGCCTGAATGTATCCCAGATCTTAGCAACTGGAAATTCTAAATATCCTATAAGTTTCCTGCATTAATTTCAGTTATAAGAAAAGTTTTTAGAACGAAGTAAAATGACATTTTTTTCATTATTCAGCAACTGAATCCACTTTCCTTTGTAGGTTTATAATTTGATTTCGTCCAAGAAATTAGATAATGGATACCTCCCAAAATTTTAGTTTCATACTTTTCACATTTGCTTTGGAATATTATACATATTCAGTAAAGGTGTGCAAGTCGTAAGTGTGCAACTTAGTAAGATGTCAGTGAAATCACTGCTATAGAGCCCACCCTAGACAATATATAATATATATCATACATTATATGTAATATAATGCATAATATAATAAATATAATATAATATAACCCAAGTGGCCCTGCCCTGCCATTGTTCGGTTACTTTTTCTCCAAAAGATAAACATTTCTGTTTATGTACTATCAATGCACAAGAGTTCTAGTTGCTTCATATCCTTGTTAACATCTTATGTTGTCTTTTCAATTGTAAACACTTTAGTGTGTGGTGATACCATATTGTAAGTTTAATTAGCATTTTTCTGAGATTAATGAAATTATGCACATTTTCACCTTTATTTCCCATCAGGATACAGTCTTGTGAAGTGCTTGTTTATGTCTTTTGCATACTTTTCCTATTTGGGGCATTTGTTTCTAAGTTGGTTTGCAGATGTATCTTCTATATTTGGGCATAAACTCTCGGAGTATCCCCTTTTTCTGAGGTGCTATCATTGTTATACATCAAGTGGTCATGGGTCTGCTCCAGTGTTCCATTTTATTCCTTGATGATTACATAATATTCCATTATTACTATTAATTACTCCAGATTTATTATAGGTTTTGTTATTTGGGAGGCAATTAAAGAACACTTTTAAATTCACAGAAAAAATGATCAGAAGATACAGAGCTTTTCCATATACCCTTTCACACCAATGCACAATCCCCCTCATTTTCAGCATCTACTGCAAAAGTGGTACATTTCTTACAATTGAGGAGCTTACATCAGCACTTTTGCCACTGAGTCCATATTTAATTTAGGGTTTTCCCTGGGCACTGTACACTCTGTAGGTCTGCATAAATTCAGCATGGCATGTACATACCTTTAGACTATCACAGAGCAGTTTCACTGTCTCCCGAGTCCTCTAACTCTACCTATCTCCCCTTTCTGAGTGTCTGGAAACCACTGATCTTTTTACTCTTTCCACAGTTTTGCCTTTTCCAAAATGTCTTATAGTCAGAATTTTATAGTATTGAGTTTTTTCAGCTCAGCTTCTGTGACTTACTAGTAGGCATTTAAGTTTTAGCAGGGCCTTTCCTTGGGTTACCAGCTCATTTCTATTGTCGAATTACAATATTTCATTTTGTGATTGCATCACAGTTTATGTCTCCACTCAACTCCTGAATGATCTTAGTCACTGTCAGGTTTTGATTGTTAGTTTTCTGTGGACTGATGTTTTCAACTCATTTGATAAATACTAAGAGGAAGGATTAATGGATCTCATACAAGAGTGTGCTTAGTTTTGCAAGAAGCCACTGAGCTATGGTGGCACCTTCTTTTTTTTCTTTTTTTTTTTTTTTTTTTTTTTTTTGAGCCACCCCATGTTTAGCAGTTATCAAGTCCAGTGTTCTTTTGTTGTGGAGCATAACCCCGGCAAGGGAGTTCATCCTGCCTCTGCCTCCCAAGGGCTGGGATTAAAGGCATGCGCCACCACACCTAGCCTGGCACCTTCATTTTTAATTTCCATATTAATGAATGAGAGTTCCTGGTGCTCCTTGACTTCTTTAACATTTGGTGCTGGAGTTTGGCTCTTTTACCTGTTGGTCGGGTAGAGGCATCTCATTGTTATTTGAACTTGCATTTTCATAATGGCATATGATGTGGAACATCTTCCACGTGCTCATTTGCCACCCGAATGTAGTGTTTAGTAGAGTCTGTGCCTCATTTTAAATGGGATTTTTTAATGAGTTTTAACAATTTTTGTCTTTTTAAATAAGTGTCCTTTATCAAATGTCTTTTGAAAATGTGATCTCCTAGTTTGTGACATGTCTTTTCATTCTGTTAGATTTTTGCAGCGCAGAAAAACTTGATTTTAATCATCTATATATTTTTTCTTCCATGGATCATGCCATTGGTGTGATGTCTTCAGTTTTGCACATTTTTTTATTTCTTTATTGTTGCCATTTGTATTTCCATATGAAGTATATTTTAGGCTGTATTGTCAGGATTCTCTAGAACAACAGAATGATAGAATGATAGAAACAAATGAGATTTGTTATATTGTCTTATGTATTATGGGCTTCATAGTCCAACAATTACTGTCTATACTTGAAAGATTGAGAGCTCAGTAGCTACCCAGTCCATGAAGCTGGAGACCTTAGCAGTCCTAATCTGGTTCTAAAGGCCTGGAGGATTCCCAGAGAGCCTCTGGTCTTCAGGCCACATTGGAAGGCCCAAGAACATGGGTTTCAATGCCAATGAAGGCTGGTAGCAGCAGTGACAGATGTACTCACCATCAGGGAACAAAGGCAAGCAGGCAAAAATCAGCCCCGTTTTCACCTCCAAGCTCTTTATATCTGGGGGGCCCACCACTGGAATGTGGTGCCAACTCTTTCCTTGTCAGTTAATCCTTCCAGGAAAACCCCTCACAGACTCGCCCAGAGGTGTATCTCTTAGCTGATCACAAATCCATTCAAGATGATAAAGAAGATTAAGCACATGGGCTGATCAATTTTCTAAGGAAATAGGCTGTAATTTTGTTTAGGATTTGTTTCTATTTATCTCTTGAGGGAAAAGTATATAGTTGCCAACTACTGGACATTATATATTTTCTCTATTCAAATCTTTATTTTTCTCAATAATGTCTTAGCTTTCCTTGTAAAGACATTAAGGACATTCTACTGGATTTGTTTCTAGATATTTGATTTTTAAAAACTGTTGTAAATGATCTTGTATGATGAGATTATAGGCCTGTGCCAGCATGCCTGATTATAATTCAGAATTGTGGCCAGGAGTGGTGGCCCATATCTTTAATCTCAGCAAAGGCAGGTGGATCTCTGTGAGTTCTCTATGAGTTCGAGGCCAGCCTCATCTACATTGTGAGGTTTGGACCTGCCTGGGCTACATAGTGAGACACTGTCTTAAAAAAAGAGAATATAGTTTTATTTATTCCCTTCAAATCATTGTGTCTTGTATTTCTCCTTTGCCTTACTTCACTGCTTGTGATCAATAATAAATGCTGCAGTGAGTCATAATGGTAAGCATCCTTGTCTTATTCTTGATCTCCAAGGAAAAGTTTAGTGACATTTACTGTAGGTGTTTCAAGACACTGAAAATTCCCTTCTGCTTTCACTTGATAACAATTTTGCCATTAATGTCTACTGAATTTTATAAAAAGATTTTTTTGTACATATTGGAATAATCATATAATTTTTCTCTTATCTGTAAATATAGGAAATTACATTGAATTACATTCAACTACTAAACTGCATTTCATTTCCAAAATAAACCTCGTTTTTCCTTAATGTATTTTTTCTTACATATTTCTGAATTTTATTTACTTATTTTTAAAAACATGCTTTATGGATAGCCATGCAATTTGTATATTAAGTAAAACTAAAATATTGATTTAACATAGTTTTAAATGGGAGAAAGGAAAAAAATTTCAAGTTTCACCCAGAAATGATATAAATTTCCAGAAAATTCTAAGTTTTGCCCTACACCCAGAACAAAACCAATTTTTTTTGAGAAATAAAAAATTTCCAGAACTCATTATGCCATAATTTTCAGGAAAACCAGTATGTTCCCAAGACTATCTTTTCCCTAGGACAGTTCTGACTTGGAGTTCCAGACCCATGTCTTGGCTTCAACTTCTGGCTCTTGCTGTAACTGTCAATCTCATTATTGCTACCTCCTGATTCTGTTCATGGTACTTAATGCTTCTTCAAAAACACACACCTTGGAAGCCTGTACTTCAGATTTGGAAATGTGAAGGGTGCTTGAATCTCAGAATGAATACTTTGTTTTTTGGCAGTCCCCATAGTCATTAACAGTCTCAATACTATTCAAAAGTCCACAATCCAAAGTCTCTTCTGAGTCTCAGGGCAATCTCTTAACTGTAAGCCCCTGTGAAATCAAAAGGAAAATAACATATTCCCAATATACAGTAGAACCAAATACACATCACCATTCCAAAAGGGAGGAACAGAGGCATAGTGAGAAAATACCAGACCAAAACAAGACTGAAAACCAGGAGTGCAAACACCAAATCCAGTAGCTCTACATCTGACTTCTGGGGCTTTACTTGCAAAAGCCATAGATGGCTCAACCTCTCCAACTTTGCTGTGTGAAACACACATTTCTCTCTTGGGCTAGTACCACTCCCTGTATGCAGGTCTTCTTGGCAGATGTCTCACAGCTCTGGCATCATGAATGTTCCTGGAGTCTCCACTGCCAACCAGGCTTCACCTTCACAGTTTCCCAAAATGACCTATCAGGGCCTTCTTTATGTAGCGGCAACCCTGCCACACACTGCCTTAGCAGCTCTCTGAAACCCTGGAGGAAGAACCGATGACCCTTCACTCTTGCATTTTTCATTCCTCTAAAACCAGCACCAGGTGAACCACACTGCAAGTTTGGGATGGACTACAGCCAGCTATATCCATTTTAGAAGCTTTTCCCTTCAGTGGCCCCTGCAGCATTTTCCTTTGACAAGTTGGAGGCTTAGCTGGGTTGTGGTCTTGCTCTAGAGGCACTCTCTCCATTGTTCAAGTGCAAATCTCTAGACCTCTCCTTAATTACTTTAATCTCCTCATCAAAGGGATCCTCTCCAGCATGCACCTCAGCTCCAACATTTATCTTCCTAGTGTTCTTTTTCAACCCAAACTGCAGGATCTGTGTTTCTTTCTGCCCCATTTGCTTTTTTTCACTGTAGATCTGCATAATATTCACCATTAATAGACACACCACCATTTCTATGTTAAGCTGTCTTGAAATTTCTTCTGCCAGAGAAATTAGATCATTGCTTTTCAACTTAGCCAGACTCTTTGCTAAAATATCCCAGTTGCTGTCTAAATCCTTATTTCCCTCTGGAATTACTCTGCTCTCAGCACTACTTTCTTCCAGTCTCCAACTAGAATGGCTCATTGAGCTTTGCTTACAGCATTCAATTGCTTTTCTAGTCCAAACTTCCAAAGTAATCTGCATTTCTCCAAAACCCCACATGGTCAGGTTCTTCACAGCCAACGGCCCACTCTCTGGTACCAATTTCTGTATTCATCACTTTCTGTTGCTATGATAGAAACACTATCCAAAGCAACTTATAGAAGGAAGAATTTATTTAGCTTATGGTTCCAAGGGGCAAGAGTCCATCACAGCAGGGATGCATGGCAGCAGAGGTGGCTGGAGGAGGAGCAGAAGCAAAGCTCTTGCATTTTCAAGCAGGCACGGGAAGCCAGAACAATTTTTTTAAATCACTTTTTCTAATTGAGTCAATGTGACATACGTATCCAGTGACTAGTCATGTATAATTCCTATTGCACTAATGATCAATGGGATTAAAAAGAAAGCCAACTTTCACAACCACTGCCTCAAAGGAATAGCCCATGTTGAATTATTTTGCAGTGCAAAAATGTTTCTTGCTACTGAAATACAGTAAAGTTCAATTCATATATCAATCATGAACAAACAATGAGGGAGTTGAATTAGAAAACATAGATTTATATCCTCTTTTATGACTAGTATTTGTTAATAAACAATGTTGCTTTAACGTTGTTCCTTTCTTATAATGGCTTATTCATGTTTGATTGTCATAACCTATTCACATTATATTGGTACCAAAATGGTTTAGGATTTTTTATTTCTATATTCTGAATTCATGTACATTGGTTTCAATTTTACATAAGCATTTGGAAAAAAATCATTGTTGATTAAAATAATTTTATTAATTTATTTGAATTTGAGAGAACAATTTGTTATAATGAACTAGAAATACAAGACTCCACTAAAACAGAATAGCTAACAAAATATGTCTGAACTTACCTTTTATGGGAAAAATGGTCAAATAGAGCTAGTAAATGGATTAGACCAAGGTTTTGGGGGGGGTAAACACAAAGATAACTGCATTTCAGCCTGAGTAGCACACAGTTCCTTCCTAGCAGCTATTCTGCCACCATTCTGCCACATCTGCCACACTATCTTTGTGTCTTCCATGACACAAAGTCAAGAGGAAAGCTTAAAAATCTTATTTTAGGATGAAAATGGTAAATACCTAGCCCAGCAGCTAACTACCATTTATGTGGTGTCCAATAGTGGTACCCCCTTTGATCAAATCAAAGTTGCTACAATGTGTATGTAACCCATCATGTGGCCTTGCAGCAATACCAGCATTCCTAATATACTACCTACACAACACAGAATACATTTTTGAACTCCAGATATTAATACCTCTATGATGATATTAGACAATGCAGAATAGAATTATATCCCAGAAATCAAGCATTAGTGAAGAACATTGGCTCTTTCTGGGGCCTTTTTTTGTGACAGCATAGAGATGAACAGAGTAAATATTAAAATGTAAGATGGTAGGATAGGTGAGGGAAGGCAGAGGTTGGAAGAGTATTCTGCCCACATGGCTGACTGGGGGGAAAAAACAAAATAAACTTAGCCAAATCAAAGTGGGAAAAGTGGTTCATACAGCACCATAAACAAAACAGACTAAATACACAAACTGGTGGCAGGTAAATCCAGAGCCTATTTTGATAGGTCCTTCCAGTATCAGTCAGGGTTCTTCCCATGTCATTTTAAGTTGTTTTTTAAAAAAACAAACAAACAAACAAACAACAAAACCCACAGAAGTAGTCATTTTAACAAGAGTCTCTCCCAGGAGGGCACTGCAGGCAGGTTTCAATCATTGTTTCTGTCTGTCCCATGTAAGCATCCAACTCAGTGTCCAACTAAGCATCCAGGTGTTCTTTTTGACACAATGGGTTGTCCAGCTGCTCCTTGGTCAATACAGGGTGAGTAAGGGCACCTCTTTCTCTGCCACCACCTTGACTTCTGCTCCAAGCTCCTCCTCTGTCCTCTACCACCACTTCTGCCATGACCCATAATAGAGATGCCCTTGACCCCTTCTCCCAAGACCTCTATGACTTCACATATCACCTCTTTTTAGTTCATTCAGAGAGCTATGTCTCATCTACCTTAGAGCAGGTTTGGACTTCAGATTGACATTCTGCCCCTATTCAGGGTTCTGGTGACTCTTCCCTCAATATAGCCCTCCTCTGGCAAGCCTCTCTTGATCATGGGCAGGCTTCATCCTCCAGTTGCTCCCCTGACAGGTCACCTAGGCGGGTCTTCTGTTTCTGGCACTGGCTGTCTGCCGCTGCAGACCTTTTTTTTCTTCCGCATATTAGTAAGACTCTCATTGAGAGACATTTTGGAGGTGCTTTTCTTGATTCAGCTAAATATTTTAACTATTACAGAAAACTGACCTTTAGCTTTACTGTTTTTCTCATATATCGTCATCTATTTCTACTTGTTGTATGTATATGTTTGTGTATTTATGTTGTGTAAACCTTCATTAACACTTGATTTGCTTTTCTTTTCTAGCTTCTTGAAATGGAAGTTAAGATTATTGATCTTTCTAATATGTGTATTTGAAGTTTTAAATCTCCCTTTAAGAACTGTTATGCTATATCAGTTCTCAATTTTTACCTATTTTTGAATATCTGAAACTTTCTATCTTGTTTTCACTTTTGATTCATGGCTTTTATTGTTTGATTTTGAAGCACATGGGGATTTCTCACTCTGTTCTTATTGGTTTTGTTTCTGTTGTGGCCAAAGAACATTCAGAATAAGTCAAATCCTTTTATAAAATTGAGGCTTGGTTTATGACACAGAATGTAGAGAATTTTAATAATATTTAAGAATGTGTTAGTGTGCTCTGTATGTCAGTGTGTCTGAATATGACCCTTTTGTTTTTCAGATCTCCAATATTTGTGGGTGTATAAGGATGTATTTTTTTGTTTGCTATCAGCAATTGAAAGCACTGTAATAAATTTTCCAATATGATTACGGTTTATCTATCTTGCATTTGTACTCTGCCTTAACATTTTATAGGTTGTGGTTATATTATATGAGGAAATTTTAAGCCTTAGAACTCACATACTACTGGTATATTTACCTCTTTATTAGGAAACATCTCTATCACTACTAATGTATCTCTGTACAAATATAGTTACACTAAGTTTATTTTGGCTACTGTTTTTATTATACACTTAATATTGCATTAACTTTTTCTGGGAAGATAAGAGCAAACATCTAGTCACCCCAGACAGGGTAGCAAAGACTGACCAAAGAAACAATTCTATATAATTCTAATTTGGTGACTCAATGAGTTTAACTGGGTTTACTTACAGCAGCAAGGGTGAGGGGTTATTTGCAAGCATGGGCAACTTATAGGCAGCTACAACACCAAAGAAAATGCCTCCCTCCCCAGAAGCTTATAGATCCTGGGTAGAGTTAGGACCACATAAGTCTGTTATGCTGCCTTGTGATCCCCTCCTTCTCCTCCTTGAGGGGACCAATCTTGTGTAGGTTTCATGCTGGTAATCGCAGCTACTGAATGTTCAAGAGAGCCCAAAACCAGCAATCTATACCCACCCATGCATCCATCTTTCTGTCTTCCTCACAGGCATGTCCAGAGGTCAGGTGATTATAGAACTAAAAAAGTTATATGTACACTTTTCTTTGTAGAGCAAAAGAAGAAGGAGTGACTGTGATACCTTGAAGAGTCTTGACTCTTCGAAGGACATTAGTGGTTATCAGATTACTTTTCAAGCAGGATTATGTCAAGCAATGATTTAACAAGACTTGGCTTATCTGTCTTTCTGCTACCTTATTTTTGGTGATTGGAAATGAATGGCATGCATACATCATCTACCACTGATTATATCCTAAGTCCTTAGCAATTTTATTTAGTGAAAGAGATGACAATTGCTAATATATAAGATCCTTTATTATATACAGAATCTTAAAATGTGCTAGGTAAGTGGGGAACCAACAATTCAGATAATGTCTAGCATAGATATTTCTCATAACAGGAAAAGGGTCACAATTTTAGAATATTAACGTTTTAATGAAGTGAGTACTTATATACAACTTGGGAGAAACGAGGATGGTGTCATGCATGGCTACTCAGAGGGTTAAGCTGGAAATACAGTCGCCCAGAAAGGCCGAAGTGACCATAAGTACTTTCAGTTGGGAGTAAAGTTCACTAACAGAATACATGCTGACAAAGTATGTAAGACATTCTAAGATGCAATGCACAATGCCAATAAGATAAAGGGAAAAAGACTGCAAACACTCTGGTGCTAAAACATGAAATTGTATGGTAAAGACAATAAAACAAAGAAGCACTGAGCACTTTAAAATGCCCTGTTAGAATACACTGATGAGTGTAACAAGTTAGTTAAAATAAGGTTTCTGTTATATTATTTGAGTTCTGAATAGACATGTAACCAACATAATATAGAGAAAATCCATACTTAACAGCTATTATAACTAAATTAAGTACAATGAAAGAAGCCAAAACTTAAAGTCATGAAGGACATGCATGGATTTGAAATACAAGTATAAATATTTAGATTAAGGATGCAATTTCTTAAGAGAACCACATTGTGATAGCAGTTTGCCAAAAATAATGACTCTGAACCAAATGTAACACCTAACTGAACTCAAAGTTATTCCTGCAGTGAGGATTTTCCTTAACTTCTCTCCCAGGGTCCTGAAGCAACAGGTTGGGGACCATGGGTTTCAGAAAGTTGAACTCACCAGCGCCAGAGTCTCCCGCCAGACACACCTCATACTGGTAGCTGTGGGACAGGGTCCCTGCCCCGCTGACGTCCAGCAGCTGTCCCAGAAAGCGGCCCTCAGGCACAGAGCCGCCAGGCAGAGAGGCCGGCCTGGTCCTCCTGCACAGCCTGAGGGCCACGAAGAGCAGCAGCGAGAAGAGGAAGAGCGAAGACACCGAGGCCAAGGCGATGACCAGGTAGAGCGTGAGCGCGTCGGGCTGCGCGGGCTGGCGCGCCACTTCGGGCGGCGGCAGGTAGGGCTGCGAGAAGCCATCCACCAGCAGCACGTGCAGCGTGACGCTGGCCGACTGCGGCGGCTCGCCATTGTCCTTGACCAGCAGCAGCAGCCTGTGCCTGGGCGCGTCGCGCTCGCTCAGCAGCCTGGCGGTGCGCACCTCGCCATTGTGCGGCCAGACTCCGAACAGGCCTGGCTCGGTGGCCTTGAGCAGCTGGAACGACAGCCAGGCGTTCTGGCCCGAGTCGCGGTCGACCGCCACCACCTTGGTGAGCAGGTAGCCCGGCTCGGCCGCCCTGGGCAGCAGCTCGGTGCAGGGCGCAGAGGCGTTCTGCAGCGGGTAGAGCACGAAGGGCGCGTTGTCGTTGGCGTCCAGCACCAGCACGCGCACCAGCGCCTGGCTGCTGAGCGCGGGCGAGCCTCGGTCTGCGGCGCCCACGCGGAACTCGAAGGCCTGCAGGGCCTCGTAGTCCAGCGCCCTGAGGGCGAACAGCTGCCCGTTGTCGGCGTTGATGGACACCAGCGAGGCGAGGGCCAGGTGCGGGTCGTGGGGCGGCAGCAGCGAGTAGGTGAGCTGGGCGTTGGCGCCTGAGTCTGAGTCTGTGGCTCTGACTGTGCCTATGTGCAGGGCGGGGCTGTTGTTCTCGGGGACGTACATGGTGTAGGAGGCTTGGCTGAAGGCGGGGGCGTTGTCGTTGACGTCGGAGACTTGCACAGTGATGTTGTGCTGGGTTTTCAGCCTGGGTGTGCCCAGGTCGGTGACTGTGATGGTGATGTTGTATTCGGCTCTGCTCTCTCTGTCTAATGGCCCATCTGTTACTAAGGTGTAAAAGTTCTTCAGTGTAGGTTTCAACAGGAATGGGAGATCGTTCTGAATAGAGCAAACCATCTTTCCATTGTCCCCGGAATCTGGATCAGAAACACTGAAAACAGCAACTACAGTTTCAAGAGCATTTTCTGGGACAGAGCTTGTGAGTGTCCTGATGGTCAGTTCTGGGGAATTGTCATTCACATCCATCACTTCTACAGCCACATTGCATTTTCCGGAAAAGCCACCACTGTCAGAGGCTATAATTTCCATGTTATAATATTGAGTTGTCTCAAAATCCAATGTCTGTTTCAGACGAATTTCTCCTCTGATTTCGTCTATTACAAATGGTTGAGAAGCTCCATCACCTTGAAATAGAGAGTAGGCTACACTTCCATAAGTCCCAGCATCTAAATCTCTGGCAGAGACAGTGACAACTAAGGAATCCAGTGGGCTGTTCTCAGGAACCTGCACCTCATAGAGAGGCTGTACAAACTGTGGGGCGTTGTCATTGATGTCCACGACTTCAATGCGAACTGTGGTGGTTCCAGACCTGGGCGGAGCCCCTCCATCCAGCGCAGTGAGGGTTAAGCTAAGCTCAGGCTGCTCCTCCCTATCCAGAGCTCTGTCCAGCACCAGCTCCGGGTATTTCCTGCCATCTCCGCGATTTTGAGTGACAACATGGAAATTGAGGTTGGGGCTGATGGTGTAGTTCTGAACAGCGTTGCTCCCTATGTCTAAGTCCTGAGCTGTTTTTAGAGGAAACACAGTCCCTGGCTGGGCGCTCTCAGGGATTTTTAGGAGCATTTCTACATCTTGGAACGCTGGAGAATGGTCGTTTATGTCTGTGAGTTGCAGATCGGTTTGGAAAAACTGCACAGGGTTTTCCAGTAGTAGCTGGAAATGCAACACACAGGGTTCTGTCACCCCGCACAGCACCTCCCGGTCTAGTTTTTCATACAGAAGCAAATTGCCTGTTTTTACATCGAGCTGCAAGAGCTCTTTGTTTCCTTTGTGATGGATTTGTGCTCCTCGAGTGGCCAGTTCCCCCACCTTGAGCCCCAGATCTTTTGCTAGGTTAGCCACCAAGTAGCTGCTTTCTGTTTCTTCTGGCATGGAATATCTAATTGCCTCAGAGCCAGCCGCCCACAAAAGCAAGTGCATAGCAAGAAAAACCACTTGCCTTTTCGATGTAGCTTTCAATAGCGCTGTCTCCATTGTTCAGACACAGCCCAGAGTGTGCAGTTTCAAGTTGGTTGCAATCCACACAAATAGTTTGTAAAACAACCTCAATTTCAGTCTGACTTAATGAGGTCCTTAATCTCCGGAGATCTTGCCCCCCTCCTAGATTTTCCTTGGATGCCTTCTTCTAGGAGCAGACAGGGTTCTGCTTTCTAGCTAGCTTAATGGTGTCTTGGACATCTGAAGATTCTATCATTCTCACGCTTAGCCTGCAGCGCCACCAAGTGTCCATATTCAGTGTTACATCAATTCCTTCTTTTCATTCCTATCCTAACCCAGCAGTGTCCTGCCCTTCACACTGAGCTCTCACCTGCTGTTCGTTCTAAATATACCTTTGCTAAGTTAATTTTAAAGTATCTTTCTTTAATATACAATCATATATTAATGTTAATAAAATTCTTCTGATAACATGAAAATTTTTGTGGGCCTGTATTGTGATTAAATTGAAGAAATTAATAATAAAACTTTTGAATTTTACACAAAGTACTTTTGCTATGGTACACAACATGCTTCCCAAAAGGGACACAGATCATATGTAGATCTCACTAAATTTATAAAGCTAATACATTCCTACAAGCAGAACCTAGAGGGAAACAGTGTCCCCAAATCCTCCATTCCCCTGCCTGTCAATATCTGGTTACTAACTCCCTCTACAAAAGGCAAGCAGTATCTTGACTGCTACCATTTTACGTTTGTATTTGTTAGAACTTTTATGCAAAGAGATTTATAGAGAATCTCTGTCTTTTGTTCGTTGTTTTTCACTCAACATTGTTTTTGTGAAATTGATTTGTGAAATGTTTTAATTTGATTTCTTCTCATTGCTTTTTGTTCCTGCTCTGTGGGAGTGTGCCATCATTTATTTTTATACTCCATTTAATGAATTATGGGTTTTTTTGGTTTTGAACATTGTTAAATGGTTTTTCTATGTGCATTATTGTATTTATAATTTTGCGATCATATGTCTGTTTATGCTGAATATAGTCATACGAGTTGGATTGTTGTGCATTAAAGTTTGACAATATATTTACATTTTGCATACATTGTGAGTTTTTTCCAAAGTAGTTTTACTCTGTCAGCCATGGTAGGGCATAACTGTAATCTCAGCACTGGTGAGATATAGAAGGTAGGATTGCAGCATGCTCTCCATTTCAAAAAAAAGAAAAATGCCACCAGGTGCACATCTTTAATCCCAGCACTTGGGAGGCAGAGGCAGGCAGATCTCTGCTAGTTCAAGGTCAGCCTGGTCTACATACTGAGTTCCAGGCCAGTTGGAGGTACAGGGAGACCCTGTCTCAAAAACACACAAAAAAATAGAAAGAAAGAAAAAAGAAAAAGAAAAATCCTAAGGGCTGGATGTGTACTTCAATTTAGCCCATTTGCCTAGCAGTTTAAGTTTTCAGTTGATCCCTAGCACAATAGAATTTATGCAAAAAGTAATACTATGAGAGTTCCAGTTGCTCCATGGTCTTGTCAACATTTGATGTTATCTTTTAGGTTTAATCACTGTAGTGCGTATGTGGTGATGTTATATTGTAAGTTTAATCAGCATTTCATAGTAGGATGCTTTGCTTTAAAGGAACTGTTCGTGTCTTTTATACATTTTTCTATTTGGGGCATGTGCCTGTTTACTCTGTAGGAGTATTTTGTATGTTCTGAGTATATAGGTTTTTTTTCAGATATATGTATTGCAAATATATTTTCCCATTCTGTGCCTTGTATTTTAATAGTATTGTGTTGTCTTTGATAAGCAAAACTTCTTACCTTGAGTCTGCTTTGTCAACATTTTCCATTTCTGGTTAGCATTTTTGTGTTCTACCTAAATCTTTGTGTACTTCAACACCACAAAATTCTTATATGGCATATTTTGAAAGATTAATTATTTTTCTTTTCATATTTAAAGATGTAATTGTCTTAGATGTTTTGCAAATGAATAAGGTTAGGGCCCATTTTTCCAAGTGCCTTTGAACTATGTATTGAAACCATCAATTCCCCATTATTTCAGAGGTGTCATTGTCTTAACCATGTAGTCATGGGTATCCTTGACTGTTCTACTTCTCTCTTTGTTGATCATGTGATGCCACATTATTGATTACTATAGCTTTATTATCTAAGTAAGTACTTCCATTATAAAAAAGGACCTTTTTATATTTAGATACATGGAGAAAATGATTGGATGGTACAGAGATTTTCCGTATACTGAGTCACATACATGCATAGCCTTCCATGTTATTAATATCCCCATAATTGTGCATTTATTATCATTGATGTGTTTACATTAACACATGTTTATCACTAAGTCCATAGTTTAAATATAGTTTCCCTCTTGATGCTGTATATGCTATAGTTTTGGACAAATTTATCTTGGGTGAGCTTTGGTGGAAAGATTGTAAGAGGCAGGGCTGGTTCATGAATGTATGAGGTGGAGTCTTCCAGGCCAATGGAGGCTTGCTTATTTGAGCCTGTGGCAGTGGTGGCTTCGAACACAGTATCCATGTCAGCTCAATCAAACAAGGGCCCAAAGGGGAGGTAAGAAATAGGTGGCAGGTCAGCACTAGACCAAGAACTATTTGAGACTGGTTGCTGCTGGGTGAGGGAGAGTATGACTTACATGAGATCACTGGATGGGCTAACTAGACTCCAGTGGATGCATTTACACTGAAGGACATTTGGGTACAAACACCTGAATGAATAGGACTCAGCATATATGTCAGAGTGCATAGGGTTCGGGGGGTGTGCATGGATGGGGGATGGAGTCTGGATGTGAGTGGGAAATATTGTATGAAAATTTAAAAGCTCAATAAAAAAATTACCTTGGCATGTACTTACCTCTCAAATATCAAATGGAGTAGTTTCTCTGCCCCCTAAACCCTCTGAGTCTACGTAGTTCCCCACTGTGAACCTCTGGAAACTACTGCCATTTTTACTGTCTCTATAGTTTTGCCTTTTCCAAAATGTTATGCAATCAGAATCAAACAACATGGAGTCTTGTCAGGTTGGCTAACTTGACTTACTACATGCATTTATATTCTCAATACCTTTACATGGGTTGATAGCTCATTTTTCGGTGTTGAATATTTTATTTTCAGCTTGTATCACTATTTATCCATTGACCTACTGAAGGACTTCAATCAGTTCCAAGTTTTGATAATTATGAATAAAGCTTCCATAAATGTCCATGTTCAAATTCTTGTGTGGACACATTTTCAATTCCTTTGGATATATAATCTGGATCATATTGCTGGATCACATAGAGTATGCTTAATTTGTCAAGAAACTGACAAACTGTCTTCCAAAGTGTTTGTACTATTTTTCATTCCCATCAGCAATGGATGAAAGTTCCTGGTGCTCCATGTTCTCCTCAGCAGCTGGTATTGTGTGTTCTGGAGTTCGGCCTTTCTAATAGTTGTGTTGTGGTATCATTATTATTGACTTAGCATGCCTCAAATAATGTAGGATTTATTACATGTTTTCATGTGCTTATCTGTGTTTCTTATTTGGTAAGAGCTGTTAAGGTGTTTGGTGCATTTTTACATGATACTGTTTTCTTGTTGAGTTTTTAAAATATTAAAAATATTTTTAGTTTAAAAAATTTGTATCTTTTGGACAATCATCCTCTCTGAAATAAGTCTTTTGGAAATACATTGCCCTAGTCTATAGTTTGTATTTTCATTTTCTGATTATAATCTTCCATGAATTATGACTTTAAGCATTATCTCCAGTTTATTTTAAAAATCAAGATTGACATATTTTTGTTTGTATTTCCATATGAAATACATATTCAGAAACTTGTTGAAATTTTGTTTCAGATTTGTTAGAGACAACTGCTTTACAGGAATGCTACTGAAAGCATGCTTGACTATGCATAATGGTGCCTGCAGTCAAGGATGTCCACATGGCAAAAGTTGCACAGACATGGGTGTTGAGGCAAATAAAGGAATGCAGTGTCCTTGATTCCAGACTTGATAAGAAAAAAGCATGCTAATTGCAGGTCATAAGTTCTGTTATGCTTAGCTAGTTTTCACCTTAGCAAACAAGTTCTGTCTTAAAATAGCATGCCAAGAGGTTTTGAAGAAGCTTTCACATGGCTATCTGCATTGAATAATGTCTTTGTTCTATTTATGGAAGCTAAGGCAACAAATACACAGCAGAACAGGAACTCAGGGCCTCTGTTTCCTCAGGGGAATCTCGACTTTTGGGATTCAAATTAAGTGTTGTGTCTTTCCTTCATGCTGTGCCTTTCCTAGAGGATTCTCTGAACCCATACCACACTGGACATAGAAAAGATTTTGTTGTTTTTATAGATTGGTCAGGGGAACCAGCATTTCAACTACTGAATCTTTCAGTTAGTGACCATTGTGTGCTCTTCAATCTATTTACATTTTTACCTTTTCTCAAAAATGTTTTAAAGTTTTCCATATGAAAGTGTTATGACCATTCTATAGCCAGGCATTTGATATTATGAAACCATTTTAAAAGCCAATTAAAGTTTTTAGATTTTCTATTTTTTTCTTATCTCAGTTTTGGAAAATCAGAATTTTAAATGATACTTTGTATAAGCTATCCAGTTTATTGGCACAAAATTGTTCAGAATCATCCCCTTTCATTTTTAAAAAATAATTTATTGAGAATTTCATACAGGCATATAAGCATATAAGGTGTTTTGATCAAATCCATGCCCACTGCCTCCTCTCCAATTCTTCCCATATCTCCCCATCACTTTTTTCTGATAACTTCATGTACTCTTTCTTCTTCTTTTATGGGGTTTTTGCTGCATTCTCCCCCCAACTCCCAAGAGGTAACCCTAAAATCCTTTAAGGATTAGATAAGAGCTCCCAAATACTTTTGACATTTTTGGCCTTTGGAACAGAGTATGTTGCTAAGCGGCCCAAGGACATTTTGACTTTTAGCCAAGAAGTTGGATACTTTTCTTTGGGTTTTTTTTTTTTTTCACCCTAACTTCCTAGTCAATTTCTACCTCCTATTCTTATCACACCATCCTCTGAAGAGGTTACCAGCTTACAGATAGGGAATCGGGACACAGACCACTCTGGCTTCTTCCATGCTGAACAGGGACACAGAGTGAGGCAATTGGGGTACCCCTTCAATAGGTCTATCTAAAAGACTCCCAAATTGCATTAACTCTTATCACCATGTGGAGGCAGGATCCTGGCACTCTCAGGCAGTCCCCTGAGTTCTCAGCCCTATGCCAGAGGGAGGTGGGAACAGGCACTCCCTGGTGGTCTGCTGAGATCCCAGCTGCTCCACAGATGGAGGTCAGAACCCACCCTCTCAGGCTATCTCATCCCCTTTGTTGTTGTTGTTGTTGGCCAGTTTTATTAAACTTTTTATTATGAGTCTTTATCTGATCTATGGGAGGTTCTGATACATTTTGTTGTACTGAATGTGTCAACAGAAAAATACATTAAAATCATCATGGCAAGGGCTTTAAATAAAGCTTTGGTTTATTCCAATAAGGAATAGGAATTATTTATGTATTGATTTGCTAAAACTAGCTTGTATTTTTTTTTCAGAAGAAGCATTCCTTTATAATTTTAACATACTCAATAACAGTTTCCAGAGCAAAGATACATCTCTTTCAAAAGTGCCTATAAAATTTTTAGGTTCACTGTTGAATTACTACAGTTATACGATATTGAATTCAGTATAAACTCTCTAAGACATAAAATTGAATGTTTTTAAGCTTTAAAAAGGATCTCCATTTCATTTTAAAATAATACTGTTTTTTACAGAAAGACTCATTGTTTTTGCTAATAACACTGTGATATTGGTGCATGCATCTCTAATCTGTATGTATCTGATTATTACTGGTCATAATCGGTTGCACTTGGATCCTTGGCGCCTGTATATGTCTATAAAGTCATAGGGTAGATTTCAATGGTAATGTTTATCACTTCTACTGATTAACATGATGTAAGTTTTTATGCTTCCTCCTCAAATATAATTTTTTAGAAATAATACATCTTTTCATTAGTTGTAAGATTTTTTCCTCTTTATTTGACTTTGCATTGAGAAACTTTCCTATGCTATCTCAAGGTGTGCCTTGACTTTTATTTAAAGTGACAGGATTTCACAGAACATCTTCAACAGACGTTATCAATTTTAGAATTTTTTGACTACTACATTTATGGCATCTATTTATGCTTAGTTCTATCCTCATGTTCATCTATTTTTGTGAATATGTATACATGTGTGTACATGTTCATGTGTATGTACACTTGCATGTGCATGCATGCAAGAGTTGATGGCTGGTGTCTTCTGCAACTGCAACAACTCTCCACCTTATATTTTTTGACAGAAGATCTCTTACTGAACTCAGTGATTCAACTAGATATGCTGACCAGCAAGTCTGCCCCAGGGATCCACCTGACTCCACCTGCCCAGTGTTGAGGTTACAGGTAAATGCTACCCTGGCATTTTTTTTCAAGGGTGCTGGGGGTTGAACATAGGTGCTCATTCCTGCACAGCAAACACTTTACTGACTGAGCCATCTCCTCAGCCCCAGATTATTTCTTTCTCTTTTCAATTTTTTAATCAAATGAAGAGTAAAAACTATGTTTCAAGAAAAACAAAAAAGAGAATAACTTAAACTAACAATAATTTTTCTTTTTTTTTGTTCTATTAAATCCTTGGGGGTGGGGGACTAATTCAGTTGAAAGAACAAGTACTTAAGCCAAAATAGAATACTTGACATTAAAAATAAATATTAGCTTGTAAAGAAAGCTTTTAATTGCTCATTTTCTGCCAGAAGTTCAATGACTATCTTACAGACATATCCAAATAAGTATAACTAGCTAGAATCACACAATCAGTTCATTAGACTTATTGAATGTAACATAAAAAGCATAATTCAATAAACATACAACCGTTCTAATCATGAGCAAATATTTGTTTGATAAAATGCAGTGTTCACTATTCAACTTGAATAAAATATGTTTTACACCTAACATTGGTTACTAAGAATTCCAAGCTCTTTAAAAATGCAATGTTCACTTGATTGAAAGTTCAAGTTAGCTAAAAATAACTTAATGCTACACTAAACAAGAGAGCAGAAAGATAAACTCAAAAGAATAAATTCTATTGTTGATTTCATCAAGTGAAAATTTTGAGGTTAGTGAATAATAAGAACTAAACAAATTTCAAGATTTCAGAAGAAATTTTCTCTTTTGAAAGGTGGAATCAGACACTATACTTTGACCTCCTCCTATGGGGTGTCAGGAGCATCCCTGAATCCTCTGGAGGAAGTTAGAGAATAACTCAGATTTTGAGGTTACTTTTTGAAAAGGTTTATGTTTATTGGTGAATTAATTTGTTACATGCCAGGAGAAACTAAGATTTTTCTCTTTAATTTTTATTAAATGACACCTGAAAAACTGAACCTCAGTACTTTTGGAACATTTGCAATCAAACAAAACAAGCACCAATACACCTGATTCTCACCACCAGCAGGGTCACAATTTTGTGTATTAATGTTCCAGTGCATGTTAATAGGAATTTAGAAAATTCATTAAGAAATTCATTAAAACAAATTTTATGCTACTTGAATTATTTATAGTTATGAGCATATTAGTCACCAACAGACTTCAAACACGGAGAAAATTCATATGTAACATTTAGTATAATTAGAAATGCTGAGCATATGTAATACTGATAAAAATGAAGTGAGAGCTGTTAGGGACATGGACACTGCAGTAGTGGAAAAGAAGTTTGATATCAATACAATTACCTATTTGAAAGGCATTAAATTTAGCAATATTACAAGACTCATTGGATCATTTACAACACTAGCTGAACTCAAAGCTATTCCTGCAGTGGGGATTTTCCTTAACTTCTCTCCCAGGGTCCTGAAGCAACAGGTTGGGGACCATGGGTTTCAGAAAGACCTCATATTGGTAGCTGTGGGACAGGGTCCCCGCCCCACTGACGTCCAGCAGATGTCCAGGAAAGCGGCCCTCAGGCACAGAGCCGCCAGGCAGAGAGGCCGGCCTGGTCCTCCTGCACAGCCTGAGGGCCACGAAGAGCAGCAGCGAGAAGAGGAAGAGCGAAGACACCGAGGCCAAGGCGATGACCAGGTAGAGCGTGAGCGCGTCGGGCTGCGCGGGCTGGCGCGCCACTTCGGGCGGCGGCAGGTAGGGCTGCGAGAAGCCATCCACCAGCAGCACGTGCAGCGTGACGCTGGCCGACTGCGGCGGCTCGCCATTGTCCTTGACCAGCAGCAGCAGCCTGTGCCTGGGCGCGTCGCGCTCGCTCAGCAGCCTGGCGGTGCGCACCTCGCCATTGTGCGGCCAGACTCCGAACAGGCCTGGCTCGGTGGCCTTGAGCAGCTGGAACGACAGCCAGGCGTTCTGGCCCGAGTCGCGGTCGACCGCCACCACCTTGGTGAGCAGGTAGCCCGGCTCGGCCGCCCTGGGCAGCAGCTCGGTGCAGGGCGCAGAGGCGTTCTGCAGCGGGTAGAGCACGAAGGGCGCGTTGTCGTTGGCGTCCAGCACCAGCACGCGCACCAGCGCCTGGCTGCTGAGCGCGGGCGAGCCTCGGTCTGCGGCGCCCACGCGGAACTCGAAGGCCTGCAGGGCCTCGTAGTCCAGCGCCCTGAGGGCGAACAGCTGCCCGTTGTCGGCGTTGATGGACACCAGCGAGGCGAGGGCCAGGTGCGGGTCGTGGGGCGGCAGCAGCGAGTAGGTGAGCTGGGCGTTGGCGCCTGAGTCTGAGTCTGTGGCTCTGACTGTGCCTATGTGCAGGGCGGGGCTGTTGTTCTCGGGGACGTACATGGTGTAGGAGGCTTGGCTGAAGGCGGGGGCGTTGTCGTTGACGTCGGAGACATGCAAGGTTATGTTGTGCTGGGTTTTCAGCCTGGGTGTGCCCAGGTCAGAGACTGTGATGGTGATGTTGTATTCAGCTCTGCTCTCTCTGTCTAGTGGCCCTTCTGTCACTAAGGTGTAAAAGTTCTTGAAAGTAGGTTTTAAAAGGAATGGCAGATTATCTGGGATAGAACAAACGATCTTTCCGTTCTCTCCGGAATCTCTGTCTCCAACTCTGAATATGCAGAGTATGGTTTCAGGAGCGTTTTCTGGTACTGAGCTGGTGAGTGACGAAATGGTCAGTTCCGGGGCATTGTCGTTCACATCCACCACCTCTACCACTACAATGCCTTTCCCAGACAGTCCTCCTCCATCTGTGGCCTCGATTTCCACATGATAAGACTTAATTTTTTCAAAGTCCAATTCCTTTTTCAATCGAATTTCTCCTGTGGCTTCATTTATCGAGAATGTTTGTTGAATCTCATCTGATGCTTGAAACAAGCCATAGGAAACATTGCCAAAGTACCCAGCATCTGCATCCTGGGCTAAGACAGTAAGGACTAGGGAGTCTGGGGGACTGGTCTCCAGGACCTGCACCTCATAGGGGGTGTGTACAAATTCAGGAGCATTGTCATTCACATCCATGATCAGGATTCGAACCAGGACTGTCCCAGACCTAGGTGGAGACCCACCATCCCAAGCGGTGAGGGTTAAGCTGAACTCAGCCTGCTCCTCTCTGTCCAGGGCTCTGTCTTGCACCAATTCTGGGGATTTCTTGCCCTCACTATGATTTCTAGTGAGCACATGAAAATGAGAATTGGGGCTGATGGTGTATTGTTGGAGCCCATTGCTGCCCACATCCAAATCCTGGGCTGATTTCAATGGAAACCGAGTCCCAGGCTCACTGTTTTCCAGTATTTTCAAGAGCACTTCCCCATCTGGGAATTCTGGAGAGTGATCATTTATGTCCTGGATCAATAATTGCTCTTGAAAAAATTCCACTGGTCTTTCAAGAGACACCTGGAAATGCAGTATACATGGCTCCACGGGCCCACACAGCTCTTCCCGGTCTAGTTTCTCTCTCAGAAACAAATCTCCAGTCTCAAGATCCAGTAGCAATCGCTGCTTGTAATCGTCAGAAATCACCCGTGCAGACCGGGCAGCCAGTTCCCCAGATCCCAGCCCCAAGTCCTTGGCCAGATGGGCTACAAGGGAACCGCTGTCTGTTTCCTCCAACATAGAGTATGGAGTAGTCTCGCTGAGAACATGAACAAAAAGCATCATAAAAATCAAAGCCATTACTTGCCTGTTTGGAGGAATTCTCCCTGACTGTCTCTCCTGCTTCTCCATGATGTCCTAGAAAGGTTTGAAATGTCTGGAAGAGTCTTCACAAAATTGCTCTTAATAGTACATTAATGTAGTGTATCCTGGCCCAAACCCTTTCATAGCTCTGTATTGCTTGCAAAGCTCAGGCCTTTGTTTTATTCTGTCTTGCAACAAAAGCAATTCCGGAGATTTTTAGGGCTCTCTATTTACAATCTTAGCCTGCAGCGCCACCCTGCGTCTTGTTTGAGAAATTGATTCAGTAACTATATTCAAGCCAAAACACCCTTTAAAAGTTTCCAGATGAATGGCATATTTTAAAGTGTATACAGTTTTTTTAAACCATGTTGCTATTGCTTTAAATTGCATAATTGGTAAGGTTATTCTACCACTGCCCATTAGAAGAACGGGGAACACAAAACAAGATGATGGCTTAGTCTTTCCACACATTCTTAAATTTTGAATAATCATTTTTTAAAAGGAAGTATTTTTAAGCCCCATAATGATATGTCTTGTTTTGTTCTTAACTTTAAGGAGTAAACATACAGCTCAAACATTAATTTCTTAATGAGAGAAAGATAAATTAGGTAGTTATTAGAAGGTATGCATACAGAGGGTTTCACACTTGCCATCAGTGCACCACTGAGCTATTTCCCCAGGATTAGATTTTAACCAGTGTTGTTATGTTCTTAAATCATATTCATAATAATGATATTTTGCAATGCTAGAATACCAACAATCTATGGTTAATATCAAAGGTTTGTGAAATTTATTATAAATTCTTATAGAAGGAATTATTTGTTGAAATGTTCCAGTAGACAGAGATAGACACACAGATCAGATTTGTCAGCTGACCATATGAATGAATTAAATGCAAAGGAAATTGTGCTCACTGTGACAATAAACTAAAATTTAACATTGCCTATCCTTCCAAGCTTAAGATATTTTGTAGTTTGACATAAGAAATTTGAGGTGCAGTCTAACACAACTTCTAACAAATCTTTGTCATGTATACTAAGTAGAAGGGAATATTTATGTGCTTGATTTATCAAATATTCAAATATCTGATTTCTAACTTAGCATATTTCTTTACAATCAGGAAATTCAATTCTTTTGATTTTGTTCTTTTTCAGTGTTGTTTTGGCTATTGAGAGTTCCTTGCATTTTTATATGAAACTTTTAGAGATGTGACCATTTCTGGATGAAAGCAAACTGACATTTTAATGGGAATTACTTTGAATCTGTACGTAAGTTAAAGTTACAGTCATTTTTTACAATATTAAGTCTTCCAGTCCATGAAAACTTTCTACTTATTTAGGTCTTCTTTAATGTATTTTCATGTTTTCTATTATTCTGTATAAAATTCAACTATATATTAACTTTGTTTCCAAGTATCTTTCTCCTTTTGATTTCAAAAGGGACTTTTTTTCTTTATTTCACTTTGGGGTTTGTCCAATGGCAGTATACAGAAATAGTTAATTTTAGGATAATAATTTCGTATTCTTCAAATTTGCTGAACTTGTTTTTTAATATTATTTTTGTTGATTCCTTGTGCTTTTGTATATGCAATGTCACATCATATAGATGGCTCCATGTTTTCATTTTGTAGTTGAATGATTTTCTAAAAAAATTTTCTGCATTTTTTGAGGTAATTGTCTAGTCTCGCCTTTCAGTTTGCTCATAAGGCATATTGATTTATTTTTGTGTGTTGAATCAGTTGCATTCCTGGGTAGATCTTCCACCTTGCCTTATAATCTTACCTGTTGCTAGAGCGAGTTTGCTGACATTTTGTTGAGAATTTTTACATCGATGTTCATAAAGGAATTTTGTTATATTTGGTTTTGTAATAGCATGTCACAGAATGAGTTTATTAGTTGCTGCTTTCCTTTTAATGATTTTTGTTAAGTACATGTATTAATTTTCTTTTAAATATTTGATAGAATTCACCAGTGAACTAATTTGGTCCTGGGCCTTTATTTGTGGAAAGTTTTTGGTTATTAACTCAGGGTCTTCTTACAGGTCTGTTCAGATTTTGACTTCTTGTTTGATCAATTTGTGTATTTCTAGTAATTCTCTTTCCCTGGGGTAGAAGTTGTGCCTGGTTGTCTCTTTTGCCATTTATCTCACTATCTTCTTATCTTCATGGTTATGGTTTCCCTTGGAAACAAGCTGTTAGACTTACGTGTATTTTTTAAATAAAATCTATTCTTTTTTTTTTAGCAAATGAGACATACTTTATTGTCGATTTGGGATTAGCAGACTTAAAAGAGATAAAGTAACTAAACAGAATGCCACACCAGATTGAACAATTCAAATAGATTGTGTGTTATGAGTCACTCACTTCTTTCTTGCTGTTTTTGAAATTGTTCATAGTATTCTTTTATAACCCCCAGTTTTCCCTAGAAGGTAAGTAATAATTTCCTCTCTGTTATTTGTGATTTTGGTTGACTCCTCTTTTTCTGGAACAAAGTTTAACCTTTGACTCAGTTGATTTTCTTCATTGTTTTTATATTGTGTCCTTCCTTTACTGTAATTTTCTAATTTTCCTCACTGTTTTTTGATTTACAATGTCATTTGTTCAAGTTTCTCTCTCTCCTCTCTTTTTGTTTTATTTTATTTTTATTTGCTTTTTGAGACAGGTTCTTACTACTTAGCCCTCATTGGCCTTGAGTTCATGATTCTCCCGTCCACCATCAGTGCTGGGATTATAGGCACGCACCATGTTTGGGTCTACTTATTTTTCTTCTTTAAAAGTTTTTCTTGAGAAATTTATAGGTGTATACAATGAAATATCACCATACATACTCCCTTTCCCTCCTCTGGCTCTTCCTATGTATCTCCAGCATGTTCCCCTCCCAACTTCATACCTTTTAAAATAACATACTAAGTCCAGTGAATGCTGCCCATATGTTCATGGGTATAGGGCCATCCACTGGACCACGGGAATCCTATCAGTGGCCACATCCTCAAAAAGAGTGATCCTTTCCCCCACTCAAATTATCCACTGCAAAGAGCTCCTCAATAGTGGGTAGGGCTTGGAGATCCCCAACCCATCTCTGCTGAGATTTTGACTGGGTTGATGTTGTACAGGTAACCCCAGCTGTTCATGATTGTGATAGCCGTGTCATATATAGAAGACAACATTTCACATCATTCACAGCACTCCTCCCCATCCTCAGGCCCTTACATTCTTTCTGCCTCCTCTTCCTCCATGTTCTTTGAGCCTTGGTGGGGGGAAGTTGATATAAATGACCCATTCAGTGCTGAGCACTAAGTCGCTTAGTCTCAATACTTTGATCAGTTATGCATCTCTCCATTGACTACTACCATCAAATGGGTCTATTTTTTTTTAAACTTGTAACCTTTAGTTATTGAATTGAGATATTTCTGTTTAAAATACAGGATTTTTTTTCTACTTTAACGTTTCATCTAAACACAGCTTTAAGGTAAACTTTATTTATATTCTGTGTGTTTGGTGTAGGGGCATTATGTGCCATGACGCATGTATGGGGTCAGAGGACAATTTGTGGGGCTCTCTTGTCTCCTAGTCCTCCCTCCTTGTGGTTGAACTCAGGTCACCAGTCTTGGAGGCAGAGCCTTGACTCACTGAGCCACCTCATTAGACCTGAGAACAGCTTTCATTACATGCCATAAGTTCTGATTTTTGTGATTTCACTTACATTCATTTCAGAGTATTTTATAATATCCCTTGGTATTTTTTCATTGACTCTGTCTGCTTAGAAGTGTGTTGATTTATTTCCTCATATTTATAAATTTTCTCTGTTTCCCTTGCCACTGTATTACAGTTTTACTCCATTGTATTTGGAGAACAAACTTTGTTCTAATGTTTATTAACTTACTTTATCATGAAATACATAATATATCTTGGAAAATGTTCTATATGGACTTAAAAAGAATGCCTATCCTGCTGTAATTAGGTAGAATGTTCTTTTAGATATGATTGGTCTGTAAGATTGAGTCTTTTTTCCTTGTGACATTGTTAGTAATTCTACCCATTATAGAAAATGTTGATACTGAACATTTCAGATTTCAGCTATTGTTGATGTGTGTCTGTGAGCAAGGACAGAGAGAGAGAAATTTTGTTTCATGTACTTTAAATCTCTACAGATAAGTACATATGTTTGTGATTGTTATATCTTCCCAATAGCTTGATGTTTTCATCATTCCAAATGCTTTTGTCCATGTAGGTGCTAAAAACTGACCCAGGTCACCTGTAAGAGCAGCAGTGCTCTTAACTACTGAGCCATCTCTCCAGCCCCTCTCACTACCTTTTATCTTCATGATTTCTCTTAGAAACAAATTGTTGGAGTTATGTGCATTGTTTTTGAAAATTCCATTCTAAATAATCCTGCTTGTTAATCAGTGTGTAATCCACTTCTGTGTTAGGAGTCACGTCTTTCTTGCTGGCTTTTGAAATTATCCTTTTGATATTTCAGTTTAATCATGATATGGTCAAGACGTAGATTTCTTTTTATTTTGTCACAGTCGTTCTTTGGGCTTCTTAGATGTTCAGATCAACGTTTCTCATTGAATTTGAGATGTCTTCAACCAGTATTTCTTCAAATATTCTTTCTGTTCTTTTTTCCTTTCCTTTCTTTCTTTTTCTTTCTTTCCACTTTCTTTTTCTTTCTCTCTTTTCTCTTCTTTTCTTTCTTTCTTGGATTCCAAGCATGTCTGTGTGTATTTGCTCATCCAAGTTTCCAAGCCTCCATTCTCTGCAGTTTGTCTTCCTATTCCTCATATTGGATAATTTTAATTGGTATGTCTTTAAATCCTGACCTTTTCTTCTTCCTGTTCATGTAAATTCTTGGTTTGAATGGGAAGGGGAGGCTGAGAGAAGTCCCAGGCTAGATGTGGGGTGACTGTGGCTTTCAATAATCCTTAAAACTTGTGCCTGGCTGTGGTTGTCATTCAGGAGCCTGCTTGAGTGCTCCCTGTTCCATGCTTCCAGGACATGGAACCATACAATAAATGTCCAAGGCTCCAAGGTTTGAAATAATATAAAACAGTCATGAGATTTGGCCCAAGCTTCATCCAGGTTGCCACCTTGTTCTATGTACTCATCATAGTATACAATGCAGAACTTCTTTGATGTGATTTTTATCATCTAGCTATTGTTTTGTATCACAACATTCATCAGACAGTGATGCCCAACTGCAAGAAGCCTCCAATATTTTAGAACCCACAATTGTTAAGACTCAAAAACCAGGGACACCAAAGCATAAAGGTTCCATTGCCCTTGCCTTTGACACTGAGAAAGAGTTGAGGTATGTCTTGTGGTAGAAATGGGTAAATGGCCTGGATGTCAGCCCCTAAGAAGTCTTTGGATTTGGCACCATCAATGTGCATGGTAGGCATATGTTTATTGTAGACTTTTAAAAGTACATGAAATTTGGATCATGGAGTTGTTGAGAGTGTCAGAAAACAGTTTGGTATGCATGTAAGGATCTCCCCTGGTGACAGATACTGAACTCAGCTCTAATCTCTGTTATATAGTTTCATGAGGAGATGGCCTTTGGAGGAACATGCTAGTTTTGTATGATCCCTAGAGCCTCATAGTATTTTTCTGAAAAAGAAAATATAGTGACCACTAGTTCATAAGAGGAATTTTTGGATTATATCTTACTGTTTCTCAGAATTATCAAATTTGCATATTTATTACCTGAATCAAGGTCATGAGTTTTTCCATGTAATCATCACTCATTAATTACTTCAGTTATAATTATATTTAAAATCAGTTATTTACTTTAAAGATTCAAATGTAAAAATATCTCCATAAGCTCTCATGTCTACTACCTTAACAGACACTGTTATATTTGCTAGTTTTTGTTAACTTGATTCAAACTAGAAACAGCTTGGAAGAAAGAACCTCAGCTGCTGAGTTTCCTGTCAGACTGGCCTGTAGGAATGTCTATGCGGCATTTTCTTCTGTGGGGCATTTTCTTGATGAGGGGCCAGCTCATTGTGGATGAACATGACATCCCTGGGTGGATGGGACTGGACTGCATAAGAGCAAGCCAGAAGCAGCAAACTAGAAGAAGCAGCAAGCCAGTAAGTAGTTTATCTCCAGTTTATCTCCATGGTTTCTTCTTAAAGTTCCTGCTGGAGTTCCTGCCCCAAGTCCCCTCAATGGTGGACTGTGATGTGGAAGTATAAGCCAAATAAACCGTTTGCTCTCCTCTGGTCATAGAGTTTATCAAAGCAACAGAACGAAAACTAGGATAGACATAACAGCCATGAAGTGCGGGGTGTTCTCTGAGATTTTGACTTCATGGATAACTCCTAAGGCAGCTGGGGCCTAGCTCAAACACATCTTTAGGGGTTGGAATAGAACTTCTACGCATATGTGACAAAGCTGAGCCAACCTTCTCAATCAAGGCTTGGATCTGCTGAAGCCAGGGCTCAAATTATCATGAAGACCTCTATTTACCCTTTCCCCTCTTTGTTTAAAGATTATTAAAACCAATATTAGTATGAGCAAACCTCCAAAAGAAGATTAGTCAATAAAAGATTCCAAAAAATCTGATTAAAATATACAAATTCATATATTCATACAAAGAATGGAGTATTTAAGCTGAAAGGAAATATTTTTCTCAGTTATTGACAATTCATGTTTTGGCCAGGCATGGTGGCACACACCTTTAATCCAAGCACTCAGGAGGCAGAAGCAGGGGGATTTCTGTGAGATCAAAGCCAGCCTGGTCTACATATTGAGTTTCAGGCCAGCTGGGGCTACAGGGAGACCCTGTTCCCCAGTCCCCGAAAAATAAGAATTTATGCTTTGAATGTTCATTTACATATGTTGACTGCTTCTCCCCATTTTGTTGTGGCAGGAGTTGAACCCAGGGCTTCCTGCATGCTAAACACGAAGCGGAAGATCATGCTCTCCCAATGAGCTACAGCCCCACTCCCACAGATGTTTGAATGTGGTTATAACTACACTTGATTGAAAACATCTTGATCTTAAATTCATTTTCTCTTTCAGGACCTTTCAAAAAACTTTTAAAATTTTAAGAAGTTTTTTCTTGTGGACATGAACATTCAGATCCTAGACATTTTCTCTGAATGAGAAAATGCCTATGAGGGGAAAATTCATTTTTAAATAAATTTCTCGAACAAAGATATAAAGGTTTGCTTATTTTCTTTTTGTATTTCACTTGTGATGTAGCAAATGTAAACTCTCCCAGTAATATTGTTCTTCTTCCTGTATAAGTTCCTATTCTTGTATATCTTTTTTTTTTTTGAGACAGGGTCTCTCTGTAGCCCCAGTAGGCCTGGAACTCCCAATGCAGACCAGGCTGGCCTCAATCTCACAAGGATCCGCCTGCCTCTGCCTCTGGAGTGCTGGAATTAAAGGTGTGCACCACCATGTCCAGCTTCTTGTATATCTTTTAATTACAATGTTGGCAATAGAGTACCTATATGAATTGGCAGTTTTCATCCCAAAAGGTCATGAAAAATCTTATGTCATATTGAAATGTCAAGGAAGGAATTATGACAGGAAACAAAGAAAATATTTTCCCTAAGTCACCATATTTATGGCAAGTAGGTATTAATGATGAAGTAAGACTGTCCAGGAAACTCCTTTCACTAAAACAGACAGCATTCATCTGTGTACTTTGTTGAAATTTTTTTTGAGACAGGGTCTCCCTATAGCCCTAGCTGACCTGGATTCATTATGGAGACCATGCTGGCCTCGAACTCACAGAGATCCGCCTGCCTTTGCCTCCTGAGTGCTGAGATTAAAGGCATGCGCCACCACGCCTGAAATTTTTTAAATGCCCCAATTTACACCCAGCATTTACAAATAAAATTATCACCCCATCGCATGCCTCACTAAATAACTTCTCATGCAAAAGGCAAAGCACACTCAGTTATTTAAAATGCTTTAAGAAATAAAATGATAATCTAAGAGTAATTTGTTGTTTTGTGCTACATTTAAATTTTTTAGACTGTATGAGCAAATACAACACTGAAATGCTAATTGAAACAGACAATAAAGAGAATAATTAATTAAATTCAGTACCTCTGTGTGCAATGCTTGTAAAAACACAACAAATTACGTCTTTAAAAAGCACATTTCACTTATTCTTCCACTTCATTAGCCACAGACAACTGACAGCTGCTTACAATCATAACTGAAGAAATGATGAAGAAAATGTATATGTACATCATGGAGTTGTTTCATTCAGCCATAAAGAAATTATGTCATTTGTAGGAGATCACATTAAGCTCTTGAAGTCATGCTCTTAAAGTACTTGAAGGCAAAATGAGGTATTTACAGAGGTTGAAGCTGCTAGGAGTAGCAATGAAAAGATTATAGAGGGTAGTAAGGGGGTGAACATGATCAACTATGGTAATTGCATGGTTGAAAATGTCACAATGAACCCTGTTACTTTGTACAATTCATCAACCATGATGAAAGTGAAAAGTGAACCAAATATTACAAAGCAAGCAATACGAATATCGTCAGCAAACTAACTTGAAATTGGTGGTTTGGAAATCTGTCCTAATTATGAAAACAGAAGAGGAGATGAGTTCTTTAAAAACTAAAGGGCTGGAGACCTCATTCAGCAGTTAAGAGCACCAGCTGCTCCTGGAGAGGACCTGGGTAGGATTCCCAGCACCCACATGGCGCTAACAACCCTCCATAACTCCAGTTCTAGGGGACTCTGATGCCCTCTCTGACCTCTGGGGTCACTTACATACATGCAGGCAATACAGTCATATACATGAAAGGAAAAATAAAATATTTTAAGAATTCTATTTGAAATGACCACAGAAAGAAAATAAAGTTGCTTTTTATATTCTCTCCTATTAATGAAAGTCACATTAAGACTGCACTGGTAAATTAGAAAGCAGCATAAGAAATGAAGATATAACACCATTAACAAGCTACAAAGAAAGTGTGTGTGTGTGTGTATAATGTCTGTGTCTAAAGAAAGATTATTGAATGCAAAACAAAAAACGTTTGTAGCCAGCAACAAATTTTATATTGTTACTAACCGTTAAAGCCTCCCTGAAATTTAAATTTTGCTAGGTATCTTGAATTAGACTAGTGGGGATAATTGGCTGCAGGAATTTGAACTCATCTGTCCCACTGTCTCCCGCCAGACACACCTCATACTGGTAGCTGTGGGACAGGGTCCCCGCCCCCCTGACGTCCAGCAGATGTCCCAGAAAGCGGCCCTCAGGCACAGAGCCGCCAGGCAGAGAGGCCGGCCTGGTCCTCCTGCACAGCCTGAGGGCCACGAAGAGCAGCAGCGAGAAGAGGAAGAGCGAAGACACCGAGGCCAAGGCGATGACCAGGTAGAGCGTGAGCGCGTCGGGCTGCGCGGGCTGGCGCGCCACTTCGGGCGGCGGCAGGTAGGGCTGCGAGAAGCCATCCACCAGCAGCACGTGCAGCGTGACGCTGGCCGACTGCGGCGGCTCGCCATTGTCCTTGACCAGCAGCAGCAGCCTGTGCCTGGGCGCGTCGCGCTCGCTCAGCAGCCTGGCGGTGCGCACCTCGCCATTGTGCGGCCAGACTCCGAACAGGCCTGGCTCGGTGGCCTTGAGCAGCTGGAACGACAGCCAGGCGTTCTGGCCCGAGTCGCGGTCGACCGCCACCACCTTGGTGAGCAGGTAGCCCGGCTCGGCCGCCCTGGGCAGCAGCTCGGTGCAGGGCGCAGAGGCGTTCTGCAGCGGGTAGAGCACGAAGGGCGCGTTGTCGTTGGCGTCCAGCACCAGCACGCGCACCAGCGCCTGGCTGCTGAGCGCGGGCGAGCCTCGGTCTGCGGCGCCCACGCGGAACTCGAAGGCCTGCAGGGCCTCGTAGTCCAGCGCCCTGAGGGCGAACAGCTGCCCGTTGTCGGCGTTGATGGACACCAGCGAGGCGAGGGCCAGGTGCGGGTCGTGGGGTGGCAGCAGCGAGTAGGTGAGCTGGGCGTTGGCGCCTGAGTCTGAGTCTGTGGCTCTGACTGTGCCTATGTGCAGGGCGGGGCTGTTGTTCTCGGGGACGTACATGGTGTAGGAGGCTTGGCTGAAGGCGGGGGCGTTGTCGTTGACGTCGGAGACCTGCAAGGTTATGTTGTGCTGGGTTTTCAGCCTGGGTGTGCCCAGGTCGGAGACTGTGATGGTGATGCTGTACTCAGCTCTGCTCTCTCTGTCTAGTGGCCCCTCTGTCAGTAAGGTATAGAAGTTTTTCAATGTGGGCTTCAACAGGAATGGGAGGTCGTTCTGAATAGAACAAACCATTTTTCCATTGTCTCCAGAATCTGGATCAGAAACACTGAAAACAGCAACTACAGTCTCAGGTGCATTTTCTGGGATAGAACTAGTGAGTGAAGATATGGTCAGTTCTGGCGCGTTGTCATTCACATCCACCACCTCTACAGCCACACTGCATTTTCCAGAAAGCCCCCCACTGTCCGTGGCTATAATTTCCATGTTATAATTTCGAGTTGTCTCAAAATCTACTGCCTGTTTCAGACGAATTTCTCCCGTGATTTCATCTATTTCAAATGGTTGAGAAACTTCATCACCTTGAAATAGAGAGTAGGCTAAATTCCCGTGAGTCCCAGCGTCTAAATCTCTGGCAGAGACAGTGATAACTAAGGAATCAAGTGGGCTGTTCTCAGGAACCTGCACCGCATAGACTGGCTGTATGAACTGGGGGGCGTTGTCATTGATGTCCAGGACTTCAATTCGAACTGTGGTGGTCCCAGACCTGGGCGAAGCCCCCCCATCCAGCGCAGTGAGGGTTAAGCTGAGCTCAGGCTGCTCCTCCCTATCCAGCGCTCTGTCCAGCACCAGCTCCGGGTATTTCCTGCCATCTCCACGATTTTGAGTGACAACATGGAAATTGAGGTTGGGGCTGATGGTGTAGTTCTGAACAGCATTGCTCCCTATGTCTAAGTCCTGAGCTGTTTTTAGAGGAAACACAGTCCCTGGCTGAACATTCTCAGGAATTTTTAGGAGCATTTCCCTGTCTGGAAATGCTGGGGAATGGTCATTTATGTCTGTGAGTTGCAGATCAGTTTGAAAAAACTGCACTGGGTTGTCCAGTATCAGCTGGAAATGCAACACACAGGGTTCTGTAATGCCACACAGGACCTCCCGGTCCAGTTTTTCATACAGAAGCAAATTGCCTGTCTTTACATCGAGCTGCAAGAGCTCTTTGTTTCCTTTGTAATGGATTCGAGCTCCTCGAGAGGCCAGGTCCCCCACCTTGAGCCCCAGATCCTTTGCTAGATTAGCCACCAAGAAGCCACTTTCTGTTTCTTCTGGTATGGAATATGTAACTGCTTCACATTCAACCTCCCACAAAAGCAATAACATAGTAAGCAAAACCACTTGCCTTTTCTGTGTGGCTTTTGGTAGCGCTGTCTCCATTGTCCAGAGGGTGTCCAGAGGGCACAGCTTCTTCAAGGCGGTTTCAACCCACCGAGTGAGTTTGGTGAAATTATGTTGAATTAATTTTTACTGACTTGCACTCAGAGAGATGCTTTTCCAGGTCTATTTGCTAGCTCTTACCTAAATGGCTCTATCTTCTGGGGAGCAATCAGAGATCTGATCCCCAGAATGGCGTCCTGGAGGTGGGGGAAGCGGGGACATGTTCATATTCTTAGTCTGCAGCGCCACCATGTGTGCTTTTCTTCTATTGCACAATTTTTTCATTTCATCGCTAAGTCTAACCCTTCTGTGTTCAAGTATCATCTTAAGTTACAGAATTATCCTCGACTGTACACCCATCCCTTATCAACTGGAAGTTGTAACACATTTGTTGAGTTATTTTTCAGTGAAAGAAAAAAATTTAAATGAATGGCATATTAATCTTAACACAGTACTTTTTGAGTACATAGAGAAATTCTTCTATTAAATCCAACAATTTAATGTAATAAATGTCTCCAAAAATTTTGAGTGTACCAAAATTACTGTTTTGGAGTATAACATACAACAAGGGCACAAATCTCAAGTGTATAGCACAGCAAAGGGTCACAAAGTGAATACACTCCAATAAGGCAAGTCTAGATAGATAAGTAAAATGTACCTAAATCCCAAATGGCCCCTCTGCCACTCACTAGTTACTACTTTCCTTCCAAAGGATAGCCAGTATCCCGACTTTTATTATCCCAGTACAGCTTACCTTTGTTAAAATGTTTACAGAAGTCATGCTATAGAATATTTCTGTGTTGTCCTTCACTGAACATTTTCATTTATAAAACTGATCTGTCGTACACTGTTTTTATTGACTTGTGTCATTCTTTCACATGCTTATACTATGCTTATACTATTGTTTGCACACACTCCAGTTGAGGAACATTGGGGTTTTTCAGTTTTGAAGTTTAAATACTACTGTTATGAACATTCTTGCATATGTCATTTGTATAAAAATATATACATATCTTAGCTGGGTATGGTAGTGCATGCCTTTAATCACAGCACTCAGGAGGCAGAGGAAGATGTGTTCTAAGACAGCTGTGGCTACAGGGAAACTGTCTGAAAAAAAGGCCCAAAATGGATAAATACATATCTTGTGTATATATTTATATTGATAAATTCATAGTTGGTTGCTGTGCATCAAGGTGTGACTATATTTAGATTTGGCAAACATTGTGAAATAGTTTTCAAAAGTAATTGTGCTGGGATGGGCATGGTGGCTCACATCTCAGCACTGGGAAGATTCAGGAATTAAGATAAAAATCTCAAGGTCAGGCTGAGCTTTATAGTGAGTCCCTGCCTCAAACAAACAACAAAACAAGTGATATATAGCTCAGTCATAGGACATTTGCCTAGCTTGTTCAATGTATCTATCCCTAGCAAGTAAAAAAGGTCATTCTAGCAATGCATGGGAGTCCCAGTTGCTTCATAATCTTGTCAGGATTTGATGCTCTCTTTCCAGTTTTAACCACTCTGGTGAGTATGTAATGATATCATAGTACACTAATGAAGTTTTGCTTATTTTCATATGCTTATCGATCATTCCAATGCATTCTCATGAAGGGCTTGTTGAAGTGTTAGACATTTTTCTATCAGGAGCATTTGTTTGACTGATTGTTGGTCTGTAGAAGAATCCTGTATATTCTCAGTATAAACCCTTTTGTGGGTACATGTGTTGCAAATAAGTTTCTCACTCTGTGCTTTCTATTTTAATCTATATGGTCTCTTTGATACACAGATGTTATTCATTTAAACAACCTAAGTTAGTGGTATTTTTCATTTCTGGATGGCACTTTTAGTGTTCTATTAATCTTTTCATACTCCAAGATCACAAAAATTCTTGTATATTTTGAATGATTATTTTACTTTTTACATTTAAATTTGCATAATCAATTTAAAAAGTCTTTGAATTCAATGAAGCTAGGGTCCATTTTTTCCAAATGTCTTTTCATCCTGTATTGAAAAGATTATTTATTCCCCATTGTTTGTGAGTTGTTGTCATTGTCATGAATCATGCAGCCATGCATCAGCTCAAATATTCCATTTTTCCTTTTCATATCATATTATGCTATGTTAATTATCATATCTTTCTTGTAGGTGTTATTATCTATAAGATAAGTCTTCCTCTGGAAGGTTTGAAGTTAAATTTTTTTTTAATTTGTGTTTTGAGTAGTAACTCTTTTTAAATTTTTCCATTTGAGCTAAGGGTTCTTGCTACATAGCCCAGGCTGTCATGGAACTGCATAGCCAAGAAAGACCTAGCAGTCTCCACCATCTTTCCTCTGCCTCCCAAACACTAGGATTATAAGCATGGGCCACCGTGCCTATGTTGATGTGTCAGTTCTGAATTTTTAAGTAGTTCAAGATATTTGGAAATTTTCATTGTGATTTTGTCTTCAATGCATGGGTTTTATCATTTAATTTTGAAGCATTTGGAGGAATTTCTAATTATATTCACATTTCTGCCTTATACTTGTATGGTGAAAGTGTATAACAAGTCATTTCAATTTCCTTTTAAACTAAGGATTTTGTTCAAAGCCAGAATGTGGACATTTTCATAATGTTACATATGTACGTAAATAGAACATATATGGTTTAGCTAGTTATGTTGGTATCAGTGTTTTTAAATAAGATGTGAATGTCATTCAGATCATCGGTACTAGTGTGTGTATTGTTATCTTATTCTATGAGAAACTGAGAGAGTTGTGTTAACTCCCAGTATGAGCCGAATTGGTGAGTTTTGTACTCATATCCTGCCATCCTAAACTTTAATAGTTTGTAGTTATTGTGTGGGAAATATTGTCTTAGGACTCCCATATATCTGGTATATTTTGCTCTATATAAAGAAGATCTCTATTGCTAGGAATGCATTTTTCCTTATATAATTTCCTTTGTCATATAAAGGAATGACTATAGCTATAGCTATGTTAGTAAAAGTTTTATTATTTTTATTTTATGTGTATGCGTGTATTGCCTGTAGGTAAGTGCATCTATGTTGTGCAATGCCCGTGGAGGACAGAAGAAGCTGCTGGATCCCCTGGAACTGGAGTTATGGACAGTTGTTAGCTAACATGTGGGTGATGGGATTCAAACCTGGGTCTTCTGCAAGAACAATGTTCTTAACCGCTGAGCCATTTCTCCAGTCCCTTATATTATATACGTTAAAAAAAGGTGTGTGTGTGTGTGTGTGTGTGTGTGTGTGTGTGTACATGCCTGAGGAAGCTATTTCTCCTGGAACTAGAATTACAGCAGTTGTGAGCCAACAGACATGGGTTTTGGGAGCTGAGCAGCAAGTACTCTTAACTGATGAGCCACTTCTCCAGCCCCTTATATTATATATTTTATCCCTTTTAAAAACTTTCAATCTTTTTCTGTGTTCTATCTCTGCCTTGCCTCATCTTCCACATATTTTGTTACATACTATAGAGTTTTCCTTAAAACTAGTCTGACACTATTTGCTGTTTCAGATGATTACTTAATGTAATTATAATTAGTGTAATAGCTGATCTTTCCACCTATACTTGAAATCTAATTCTTCCATCTATACCTACAAACTAATTATTCTTTCACTTGGCCCTAAAGTTTTTTTTTCTTTTTTCTGCTTATTCAAATTTTGTCTCTTCAACTCCTTTTTCATTATTCTATTAGAGGTTATCCAAGAATTTATAGCATGCATCTTGATGTATAATAATCTAATACAAATTATTAATTTTACTACTTCCATGATAAAGCTTTGAACTCTTCCGTGATAGAATGTTTAGAACTCTTTACCTCTATGCCATTGCCTTTGCGTCATTACTTTCATCAGTTTTAAGAAACTACTATTTTTGCTTTGTATAATCGACATCTGATTAATGTTCATTTATATTTACCTTTTCTGTTGCTTTTTACTTCTTGCCTGATGAGTTCCACTAAAAGTATTTCTTTCAGTGCATATGTGACTTGATTAATTCAGTCTTTGAAAGCTTCACTTTTGAAGGATATGTGTGCTGGTAATAGAATGCTTGTCTGGCAGCACTTTAAAGACATTGTCTTTACTTTTGTGATTTATATTAAAAAAAACCATGCCAGGTGTGGTGGCAAGTCTTTAATACCAGCACTTGGGAGGTAGAGTCAGGCAGATCTCTGTGAGAGTGAAGCCAGCCTGGTCTACATAGTGGCAAGTTCCAGGCCAGCTAGGGCTACAGGAAGATGCTGTCTCAAAAATACAAAAAAGTCAGCTCTCTTTTATTGATTTTTCTTTAAAAGAAATATATTATTTTCAAGTAGTTGTAATTTTATTTAAATTTGAACTTGTCTTGAGCAACTTTCCTATGATACACCTAGGTATGTTTTGTTTATACTTTACCCTGATTGGGTTTCACTAAATATGCCAAATTATTTTTTTAAAAACTTAGAAATTGTTGAAATTGTTTGTCATTATTTCTTCAAATATTAACCCTTTCTTAGTCTCTTATCCTTCAGGGTTACAATCAGCCACATATAGGATGGAAGGCTTCATTGTGTGCAAATATCCAATAATATTCTTTTCTGTATTTTAATTTGTTTTCTCTGTGCTTCTATTTAGACATTTTATAGGGACCTCCCTTATATCCTCATATCCTGCATTCCTTTATGTCTATGAAATTAAACCATTTAGTTCTATGTCATATATTTTTCATTTATAAAATTTACATTTAAAAATTTCAATTTTCTTTTTTATATTTAAAATAAATTGATTCAAGAATTTCACAGAATGAATTTTCATTATATTCACACCTCCTCCATCTCCATCCTCTTCCTACCATCCCCATACCCTTCGACTTTATGTCTTCAATTAGCAAATGAAAAGCCCCATCCATCTTACATAACACCCTGAGCTTGGTGCCAGAGAAACTGTATCTCATTAGAGTGTCAGTGATCTCTAATTCTTACACAGAGGTGTGCTAAAGTAAGAGCCGATTCCCTTCCCTATGTACATGGTTTTGGGCCAGAATATTCCCAGGGTTCTTGGAATGGGATTTTCACTCATAATTTGTTTCTCTTACACACTGCTTAGGAATGTCAAGTAGGGATTTCTCTTTCTCAGCAATCAGAAACGCTTAGTCTTCCTCATCAAAGTTAGTTGTTTGCAGGCTCCCACTCCATCATGCACCAGTGTGTAGGCCGGTTCTGCCCTACCAGTGTTACATTCCTTCTTGTATGTATCAGAACTCATACTGAATGAACAATGAGTTCTAGGTTGCAAATGAGAACTTATTT